TGAAAACACCACATTGCCTTAAGGACTTTTAAAGCAAGCTACCTATGTTTAGTCTAGATAAGCGAAACTGAACATTGACATAAGGTGAAAGAGGCAATTTGTATATATATTCACTCAAGTCTCACTGAAGCCAAAACCACAAGATCATCTCCTGTTTCAGTGTGCTTATTCCCACTGAACTATCTAAAACAAAGCTCAGGATTTCCAACTCCAGACATCATTTCTCAATGTCAAAACTGCCAATTCCCAGAGTGTCACTGAAAATACTAGTTATTGACAAGTAAGAAAGTCAGGCTCTTATGAAATAATCCGTCATTTGCCTTGTCCTTTAGGGTTACACAAAGTTAAACAGCTTTTAAAAACCTGTTTAGGTTTTGAGAGGCAGCACTGTCTCCCGTAAGATGCACTTCAAATGCAATTTTTATAAAAAGAAACGTGTGTAATTAAGCTTTCTTTGGGGGATAACAAAAGCAATCACTGAGGAAGTCATGTTATTTATATCAAGAGATCTCTAAAATGTTTAGTCAAAATTTTTCATTATTCCAATAATACTAATGGATACAGAATCTATCCTGAAATACTTGATTGGCACTACTTTGCTAAATTCAAGTTTGACTTCTGAAAGTCTTTTCCTGTGTTTTACAATATTTGGAGAACATATACAACTTTAGAGAAAATACGTCAACGAGGCTGTCCACGGTTAGACATCTCTTTTCCCTCGGTTAGATCTCTGTTGCAAGTTCTGTCTTGGTTAATATGTGTTAAATCCTTTGAAGCTTTAAAAGCCTATGATACTATTATAAATAAACATGTCTGAATCACCAAATGGGAAAATAGGGTCAAAAGCATAACTTCTGAATTTTTCTAATCAATCTGCTTAACCCTCTGGGTTTCTGAAGTTTAAAGAGAAGGCTAGAATAACAATATATTTATGAGACTGTGCCAAAAAAAAGAAATGAATAAATTACTTTTCCTAATGGAGCACTAAATATTTATGAGTAAATATTCATAAACATTCATAGGTGTTAAGGACAAGCAATGCCCAGGAATATTAAGAAACTTGTATTTTCAAAATCTTAACACACAATAACCAAACATAATTCATCTAGCCTAATATACACCTAATACTACTAATAAAATGTAAACTGCTACTTAATGACAGTTAAAAGAATGCTGATTCTGAAAAATGCAAAAATTGGTTTACTTATTTTAGCAAGGGTACATAATTTGTTCTTATGTGCTCCACAACCACAGTACGCTATTGAAATGTGCTTAAATTTTATTTATACAACTGTACAAAAAATTACTAAAATTAATGTTTTTTGCTTTACTTGAATTTCACCAAATTAAAGTTAATGCCCATAAGTTTCATGGAAAATATAGTTTGCATAACTTAGCATTCAAACTGTTCTTGCTGACACATAAAGAAGGAAAGCACAGTTAACTTATTTGAGAATTTATTAAAGAAACCTGGTACTTAAAAATATAGTTGATATTTTTATAGAGACAATCCTAAAGATTTAGTTACTATATCTATGATCTAGTTATAATAATTATTACATATTTTATTAGTGAAACAGAAAAACAAAAAGCACCAAAATGGTATTTCCTTTGCTCCTATTCAAATAATTTACTTACTTAACTCTACTTGCTTTTCATTCTTCATGTGTATAAATTATACACTATGACAATAAAGTAAATTCATATTTGTAGAAAAGATAATATGATGTGTTTTGTTACGATTCAAAATTGCTTCCAAGAGCCAAAAACTTAATGCACTTAAAATACTACCTAAAGGCATATAAATCATAAATTTATTATGATAGTAACATTTTTTCTCACCTTGAAGTCATTTAATTTCTGGTTCAGTTTTGATCTTCTTATATCATTATTTCGATGCCCCCAAACTACATTCATGGGCTCTTTAAAACTGTCCAAGAAATGTAGCAGAGAGGGAAAAATTGGCTTACTTTTAGAATGAATAATTTAAAATAGGCCTATAAAGCAGTTTGTGAAAACTACAATGATATGGTCTTTCAGCTTTCAACATAAAAGAGGGAGTGAAAACATAAACAAAGTGGTATGAACATTTACAGTTCCTTGGTTAACTTTTCAAGCCAATGGATGTGTTATCTTTATTCAAATACAAGATTGTCATTTTCTCAAGTTTTACTGCAATTTGAGGAGCACTCCAGATGTAGAGGGTTTAACTGAGTGGTGCAAAACTAAGTCAATATAGAAAGGAAGGAAAAACTGAATGGGCTTCTCCAAAATTCTGGTGTTGTGAGTGGTGATTGTTACAGAAACATGATATAAGGCACAGAACATGGGCTGTGGAATCAAAATCTGGTTCAGCTTCATAGCAGCTTTCTTACCTTTGGCATTCAACTTAACCTCTTTCACTTTATTCAATAAAACAGGGGTGAAAAAACATTCCTTGCAGTTGTATATGTGTTAATATAATTACATAGGGATGCATGCAAAGCAGGTACTCAGTAAATACTGTTTGAATGTTGAGGAGCCTACAGAGCAAAGTGGTTAAGAACAAGTTCTCTGGAGAGAGACCTGGGTCTCACTACCTATTCTATCATTTACAAAATGAACTACTGTTTGATAAGGGGCCAAGTTTTTAATCTAACCTTTAGCTTTTCAGCAGGAAAATAAGGATACAAATAGTTACATCTCAGGTTGCTGTGACAATATGAGATAAATATGTAACACTTTTAGTAGAGTCACTGACATGTAGAAAGTGCTCAATATATTCTACCTACCATTAGTAATGTATTGAGTATTTTACACTTCTCTTTATGTGACTTTACAAACATGCTGGAAAATTAATAGACTGGTTCCCTATAGGGTAACCAATCATCCTTGTTTGCTCTGAACTGTCCCAGTTTTAGCACTGAAAGTCCTGCATCTTGGGAAAACACTAAGTCCTTGGCAAACTGTAATCACTGGTTGTTCTACAGGTTTATCTACAATTAATAAAAAATAGACCCAGACTAATGAGCCCCTTAGCTTGTGTACTGGTCTTCATTTATCCAGGATGCACTCACAATCACCTGAATTCTCCAATAAGATGGATTCCAGCAAAGATAAACTTCAGCTCGCAGCAGTGGGATTTCTATGCTGTTAACTTTTCCTTTCCTTTGGTTTATGTGAGCTTAAAATATGACTTCAGTGAAATTTCTTGACCTTGCTTCTATCCTTTCGAGGCTTTGAGAGCCACGCTCAGTGGCTAAACTGCTTTATCTGAAATCCCTAAGGAGAAGTGCAGCATCCTTTTTCTGACCTATACCATGCTGGATGTATTTTGGGATGTGCTTCTTTTTATTTCTAATAATGTGGTCTACTCTGTGAGGCACTTCTACATCCTGTTTCCGAGGAACACTTGGAGGGGTGATGACACATCTCAGCCAGGACACACTGAGTGTACAAAACCATAAATTGACATGCTCTGAAGAGACGCCCTAAATGTGCATATTTCATGCAGACTTTAGGTTATACTTACGGATTTTGTTTTGTTTTATTTAGCTAGCTTTTGCCCAGTAATATATAAGGGAAGGGCACTAAATGAAGAATTACTATATTTTTCATTCTTTTCGATAAAAGAATTAGATCATGGCCCATTTCTAATATCAATCTAATACTTTTATTACACTAAAATTTATATTGCAAATCCAACTACATTTCTTCTGTATCTAAGTAAAAATGCAATGGTCATTTTTGTACTACTGAATCTAATGTTGTGTTTCCAATATCTGACCTAAAAATGCAGGATGGCTAGAACCTATGCAAAATCTATGGCCAAAACATCTTGATCTCATTTAATTTTTAATTTTTTATTAATATATGTATTGCCTAATAAGTCAGACACTATGCCAGAATTATATATGTATATATATATATAATACCTGAATATAGTTACAATATATTTTATAAATTCAGATTAAATATGTAATTTAAAATTTTCTTTTTCTAACACTGAGATACATAACACATAATAAATATACTAGGAGCAACAGAATATATTTGGGATCTGTGCTTCTTAAAATGGAATACACCATCATGTAATGGAAAAGGTCAAAAGTAAAAAGATTTGGATTTGTAGTAGACTAGCAGTTTGGGCAGATGTCATAATCTCTCTGAACTTGTTTCCTTATTCATAAAATAGGAATGATGTTATTTTCAGAACCAGCTTTGAGTTAATTTGTTGTTACTATGGGCAACAAATTAGTTCAATTGTTAGTCCACTTTCAAATATTGAGAAAATGTGCTTTTGTTAAATTATACAGAATTATATAATTATCAAGTATGATTACCCTGTTCACATTAAGCTGAAAACTCCTGTTCAAATAGTTAATTATCAGGCCAACAGTAACTCTGAAAAGAAAATGGTGTGGGCAGCATATGACTTTGGAGTGAAGCCTATAGCCTACTTGAAATTCAAGTGCAAAGACCAAACATGCTGAATGGTTTTCCTCTCCTATGTCTCTCGGAAAAGTAAAATTAATGGATATTTTAAGAGTACTGAGGAAAACAGAAGTAATATTTAGGCAGCAGCTCCCCACATGTATGACTGCAGCAAGGGCCAGTACATTTACTAAGATTACCATTATCTGCAAGGTAAAATACAGGGATTTTCTATTTTACCAGATATTACACTGAATAGAAGGTAAAATTAAATCTTTCATCTATGAGAGCAGAGGAATGCAAACAAAAAGAAACAAAGAAAATGTCATTTTCTAAGGAGAATTGTTTTCTAGTTGTCAGTGTGGATAAATAAAATTTTTTAAAAAACATTAATTTTAAAGTAATCTCTTTGATGTGAACACAGAATATGAAAGAATTAATATCAAATACACTACAAAATCATTTCAGGAAAATAACTACCTACTAATTTTGCTCATTATTCAATAAATACAGTTATATAACTCTTGTATATTACTATTTTTAAAAGTAACAATATTAAATGGTTAAAAAGTTATGTTAATATTTACCTTTTGTGGAAGAGTTATATTTTTCTTGTTCTTCAATGAATTAAATGCACATAATGATGGAAACAAAAGAAAGAAATCAGCAAATTTATAGTTAGACATGGAAATGTGAATTAACACAAAGGCATGAATAATTAAAATGCATAACATATAATGTGACATGATAAATTACAATGAAAAACCATGAGTTCCCATATATGGTACTAAAATTAATCAAAGAAAGAATGAATACAGCAATTTAAAGATTAAAAATGAAACAAAAACATTGGGAAATTAGTATGTTTGGCATTTTAAAAATATATTCTGTATTTTTTTTCCTTTCTTTTAAGAGCTGTATAGTATTTCAGTACCAATTTTATTAAAACATCTTAATTCCATTGTGATTTTTTTGTAAAAGCATTTAAAAGCATAATTAGTTTTCATAACAAAAATTTTTATTATTTCAAAAATGAAAGTTCATATGATGAAGGCTCATATGCTCATATGATAAAATGAAATTTATTTTTTTATCTGATAAACAAAAAATAAATTCCATTTTTACACTTTGTTTGCACTATGGGAATTTTCTGTATCATTTTCCACATGAAAAATTTAAGTAATCTTTTTTTCTTCTCAAATTAATTATATTAAAATATATCAAAGTAAAATTAGTTGCTTTGTAGAGACTATACTTCTTAGACATTTTGTCCAACTCTTTATTGGTGTACTACTTACAGAGGACTAATGGCCTGTTTCTGTATTTCTGAAGAGGAATATCAATGGGGTTTTAAGTAGGTGATATAATAATGGAAGATATAAAACATAATTAGCACATTTACTGCTAGTTTGTGAATGATCTCTAAATACTTCTTTAAAAGATCCAGTTGAGCACACACACAAAAAAGTTACTGGTTGGCTTCAGAAATCTATTTTTACACAACCAGTTAGGCTGCTTTCAATCTGACTCTACATAAGGCATATGCTGAGATATCATGTTGAAATATAACCAGAAAAAATTTTGTGCAAGTCTTTGCTTTCAATTACCACATACCATTAGAGTTACTTAAATTACAAGGCTAAAGTTTTCAACTACTTTATCTCAAAAATCTGTATTGTGATCACCTCTTTGCTTTTCCCCTAAATCTACTTTATAATAATTAGACTCTATGTAGCAAATAGGCTAGCATTCTCAATTTTTAAAAGAAACTTTAAAACATCTTTTTAAAAATTGAGTAAACAGGTCTTTTCAAGTGATACGCTACCCTTTAAAATAAGAAATACTGCCTTTATGGTATAAATAGAGACTGGTATATTTGATTTACAAGAAAAAACATACTTGCAGTGAAACAGTCAAATTGTCTTGGCATACATTCTAAAATCAGTAATGTAGATAACTGTACCCAGAAACTGTGTATGAATAAAATTATTTTATAAGTGCCTCAAGAAGCTGTATCACTATCTGGTAATCTAAACCATTTGAAATATTTGTTCTTACCAATCATCTGTTTATTGACTCAATTATTATTTTTTAAACAGAAAACCCCCTTTGTTAAAAATAAAAAGACAGAAAAGATGGGAAGGAAGTCAAGTGCAGTAGGGGCTTAATCGATTGTAATAGACTGTGGTCAGCATTAATCTTCATGGGAGATGGAGCTAAAGTTTAACAAATAATATAAAAAGAATAAAATGAAATAATTCTATAGCCTTAAGAACAACAATGAAATCAATCTTAAATAGAACATGCTAAATCCTATCTAACTCATAAATCAAATTAAAAATTTACTTTTGAAAACATATTTTAGGACATGCAAAGCTGTCATGCGGACTGTTCATTTTGAAATAGAACCATAGTAAGATAATGGCAGACAGTAAGTTCATTTACCAAAAGTCCCAACGCACATATTTACATCATAAAAAACACCAGGTCTATTTTATTTATAGAACATTTCAATATATAGATATATAAAATACATGCTCTGTGTCATATTTTTTAAAAGCTGTATGTATATAACTCTAAAGATCATATATTTCAGGAAATTCGAATGACTAAAAGTTCTTATTAGTGTATTTGTCATATTAAATATCAAAATAACTCCACCAATGTAGTCATTCCCTTCTTCCCACCTCAATTCAATTCTTACAAACTGATGATTTCTCTGAAAGACAGCTGTGAATACGAATATCATGAACAGTAACATTGATATTAACAATAGAACATGAGCTTTTTAAAAAACCAAAATGCAACAGACAATCCAACTGACTTTGTGGAAGCAATTCTCATTTCTACAGAAATGATGTAACCATAATCTCACTATAGGAGAGTTATATGCAGTAACATTATATGCTTTTGAACCCATAAAATGTTTTATTTGCAACCGGAGGAAATGCAAAGAATTTTAGGAGCACATGACTTTTAGAATATCAATCTTTAGCAAACTATGATTGGTAAGACTGAGTTTGTAAACACCCAAATTTTAGTTCTTTCAGTTGTGCAACAGGAGCTCATGAATAGATAATTGAAATAAACACCAACTTTTGTTTTAAAAAATAAATTTTAAAATAACTTCATCTGGGTTATTGCCAGATTAATTATGAAAATCTTATAATGTTCCCAGAGGATAAAAATTTTAAAACGTCAATTGATAATTCCAATGAATTAACTGCTATTTTATAAAAGAAAGTCAGTTTCACAACGCATCATATTTTTATGATTCACTAAATGAATATCCTTTCAGCAACCCTGATAACTAAAGCATGGTTTATCAATAGAATGTATTTTTACAAATACAAACCCAGAGTTTATCACACCAGTATTGCTCTATTAATAAGTTGATACCATTAAAAATCTACACTAATTTTTCTAAAATCAAGTATTCTGCATGGCAAACTATGCCACATCAGTCTTTGAAACAATGGATTCACCTTCTGAGATCTTTAACATTTCTGTGATACATTCAGTAAAGCACTTCAATTAAGTGAGAAAAATACATATCCCAGTACCCTCAATATAAAATGAAATGCAAGTTTTCCAATAGCAACAGTCAACACTGCTGAAAAAAAAATACTCAAAGTGTTAACCTTTCAGTTGTTTTATAGAGATGAAGATTTTTAATAAATATCTCAAATATAAATCTACTACATTTATATTACAATCCCAAAGTAGAAATTATTTTAGTAAATTGCTTACCAAATCCCCCATTAAAAATATGTGATAAAAAATGATAACAAGTCATTTCACCTACTAAGATATGTGATAGCACTTTGGGTTGCATGAGAATACTGACTATTTTAACCCAATGTCTAAATCATCTAGCTCAGGTAGTTTAGAGAATTTAGTTTCTACTAAACACAGACCGTATACATTCTCTCTCTCTCTCTCCAATTTTGTTGCTCAGAAAATGACACAATAATATATGCATAAAATATGGAAATCTTTAAGCAATATAAACTGTTGAAGATACTAAAACGTGTTCTGTCATTTTTTTATCATCAAACTTGTATTAAATATAGGCTACTGCTAATCAAGTTAAATTAAAAACATAAGCAAAGGATTCAGTATGATTGTTTAACTTAAAAAAATCTTTTAAAAGGTAAAGTATTCTTTTAACACATAAAACGCCATGTTGTACTGAGATTTCAAAATTTTATTTTCTTCCTTTGTCCCTTTGGAAAAAGATCTCGGCCTCCATCCCTTCTGTTAAACAACCATTTAAAATTCATTCATCCAGCAAAACTCACTCAGCAAAAACTGAGTGCATGCCATGAACCACTGTCACTAGGTGTTGGGGATAAAATTGTAAGAAAATTAAATTTTTAGGATTCAGCAAACTACACATAATCAAAATACTATTTATTCAATAAAAGGAGTGTAAAAAGAAGAGGTTCTCAAATCCAAGATTTTTGGACAATGATCTCTCTTTATCGGATACCTTGTTCTAAACTGCCACTTCTCACTGGCACTTGTGGGAGCTGTCTTCCCCTGCGACTGCTGAACGATGTGTCTGCTGGAGGAGATTGTGTTGGACTTCTCTGTCGGTGCATTCTGCAGGCAAAAAGCAAAGTGGAAATAATAAAATTCCATTGTGGTCTGACAAAAATCTTTTCCTCCTTCCTGTTACTATTAAAATAGACATAAAGCCCCTCACTGGGCCAATGGGAGCAGAATCAAACACTTTTTATGATATGTGTAAATGGAATATTACAAAAAGGGGTTAAATGAGATAGGGCAATGTGCACCACACACAGTTCTACATAATGAATTCTTAAACTGAGCAGAATCCCATTCACTTCTTTTCATTAACTTTCTATTAAGTTGTTCTATCTGGGCAAGTTATTCATTTTTGGCAGTAGTGAACCAAATATATCTAATTACAGCATCCAGATCTTAACAATATGGGTAAACATGATAAGAAACGCTATTGCCTAAATTGCTACTATTAAATTGATATATACTGTAGAATTATATATAACTAATAAGAATTCTAACTGCAGACTTTTATAAATTATCACTCAATTGTACTTTATTTCTATAAATAGGAACAAATTTGAAAGATATTTAAAGTAATCCTGGACACATTATGAAATGCACTGGTGCAAATATTAAAATTACAAATAAAATTTGAGAAGTGTGGAGATATATTACTACTGCCCAGGGTTAAGCTGACTTCCATCTGTTGGTATTTAAATACTTTTCCAACTAAAGAACTTTAAAACATTCTAACACTTTACTGATATAAAAGATTTTTAAAAATTCCTCTTATGCTTTTTAAAGTAAGCACACATTTAACTCCAAGTAACTTATCATAGAAATTTCACATAACTAAAAAATTATATATGAATATGCCACAAACAGATGAAAGGACATAACACAGCCAAATTTAATTTTCAATGAGAGCTAATTGGCAGAAACTATAGAATACCACCAGCACAGTGAAGATAGATGCAAGTAATAGAGGATGTGGGAGAGATTTAAGTGTCACAAAGAAAGGATTAAAAGTTATGGTGTCATAATGAGTGAAAGCTTCGAGTGCTCAGGAAGGTACAACACCACACCAACACCTGGAGGCAAGACATGAATGCTCAGGGGGACACTGAAGAGCGACCTTGTCAGAAGCGGAGAAGGTGGCGCCGACCCTCCAGGGACAAGGTGGTGCATAGAACACAGTGTTCTGATACTAGAGTGCTCACTCGACCTTGAGCGAGCAGGATGTTTTCCCCTAATGACTGGCTGATCAGTCGTTCTTGGGGCTGCGTGTCCCCGTCTAGAAAGACATGGTGGGAGAACCCTAAAACATTAGGGCCAAAAAAGATCTTCAGTCAGCAGGTTCACATTAACTTTGACACCAACACATTTGTCCAAGGAAAACCTGGTTACTCGTACATGACAGTAATTTCAAAGAAGAGAACCCATCACATGATTATTAAAATGGAATTCAAATAAAACTGACAAGTTATTATTGCAAATGTCAATGCCATGTGGTTTTTAAAGGCTAATTGGTGTTGCTCTTATGTAATAAACCTCTTGTATGTTCCAGCAGGGCAGAGACTTCTCTTTTTTTTGGGTGGGGGAGGGAGCTCTATCTCCAGTGCCTACAACACAGCCACACAGATAGCAAGAGCTCAATAAAGGTATGTTGCTAGAATGAGTAACCATAATTAGAATGATGAACACAGGGAAGGTTCAAGTGCTTGCTTTCAAGAAGAAATATTGTAGCCTCTACATTTTTTATAATGTTCATAATTTTACTATGTAATAAGCAAGACTATGCCAAAAACAGCAAAAGAAGGCTGCCTTTTGAGGTTAATCTAAGTAGACAAAAAAATTAAAACAATATATGATGGAGAATGCTTCATTAATTATACATCTAATTAAATATAAATGGCTTAAATATGGATAAAAACATGTTCTCTCAGATATAACAATATCTGAAAAGGTATCTGTCCATATTTTGACAATTATATTAATATGATGTTTAAAATTATTATGAAGCCAATTAATGAATTAAGAATAAAAAACTGATGTTTATATAAATGTACTTATTTTTTTAAATGCATGCTTTTGCCTTTTTCATTGATTTTGGTATATATTTTAAATAAAATGCATGATTAAAATACCTAGCATGTATTATTTTGGCAGAAAGAATAAAATGATGCCTCATTCCTTTTAAAGCAATACTGTAAAATTCATGTAGTGACTAAAAATGTGTGAGAATAAAGAATACATATTTATCACCAAAAGCACATTAAGGAATGTCATTCAACTTCTATTCAGATTGGCAATTTTTCTTTTAAGTAAAATGATTTTTACAGCTATAATGACTTTGATTCTAAGAATCTTATTCATTTAAGAACAACAAAATGGGAAAATGTCAGGTTGAAGAAAACAGAAAAATGTTCAACTCAGTTCTTTAATAAAGGTGTATTTTACTTTCTTGAGCTATAAATTAATGTGTTATCACACCGTAATTTAAATCCTGAAACCTGGACTGTTACCCCAATTTCCAAATTAAAATAAAAAGTAACCGACAGTGTTCTACATATCTGTTCATTCTAAATTGGTTTTTCACATCAACTATACAGAATTAATTTCTATGAGATAGAGCACATGATCAAGTCCTTTCCAATGATGAGTTTTATCTACTACCCTTTAAAGCCATTATCATGACAATAAACTTCAAGCAATCCTTGTTCAAGATACACTTTCTAAATGTGGCTTGCAAATGGAATTATACAGTTTTGCACCTTAGCACTGAAAATTTCATGGATATTACAATTTTACTAAAATCTTGCTCCATTCCTTAATGCAATTCGCAACCACTAAAAGTAAAACTCGAATGTGACTTGAAATGTAAATAATTTAGGTGAACTTTCTGTAACATCAAACTAAAAGGTGAAAGTATAAAAAGCAATTTCAAGAGCAAATAATTCCTGGGCGAATATTCACAGCTCAACCACGTATAACTTAGTGTTCCATCTCCTAAGCCATGAGGCTTGCAGTGCCTGAAAATAGCCTGCAATGTTTGAGGTTAATCATTTAGCACAAGATCTGTTTTTTTCTTTGACATGAAAAGTCTCTCAATAATGAAACAGTTCCTGCCCCCAGCCACTCTGTAACAAGCATGAGAGCACAGACCAAAGGAGACGCACAGAAAGCCACTTTGCCAGAAGAAAAAAAGAATATGGTAGCAAAACTGAACTATGAAGAGGAAGCTGGGGAGAGGAAAAATGCAGAGCTTGGAGAGAGAAGAGCAAGATTTTGCAGAAGCAAAATAATAGAACCAAGTAGAGCTTGTTTTTAGGCAAGAGGAAAGGACACTTAATCAAGAAATACTGAGGTACAGAGTGTAAAGTTGAAAGAATCCAGGCTGTTGTGCCTGATCTTTTCAATGAAATGGGATGTGCTAAGAATGTAAGGAAGTAAGAATGACAGAAAAATGTGTTAGAGACTAAAACAGGTAATGAAGGATAGATAAATACAGCTACTCCTTACTGAGCATCAATATAGGGTAATTTGCACATGCTAGGAACTGAATGTATTTGTGCTCATACGCAGGCATGCATGTATATATGCATATATGTATCTATATGTGTATACACACATGTATATACATATGTGCCGCCTTCTGTTCTCACACACTGAGAAGTGTCGTTATTAGTATTTTATTTTATTTTATGACTGAGGGTTATCGAGTGACTTGGAGAAAGATAAACAGCTAAAATGTGGTAGAGGTAGGATCCACACAGGTCTGCCCAGTTCCAGTGCTTGCTCTCTTTTCTGTCTAGTAAGAAAGGATTTGTTTGTGTATCATGAGAAAAAAAAATGGTAATTTCACATCTCAGGATGTACCAGGAATCTCATAACACAAATAATGTGTCCAAGTATCAAATTATTTGGCAGGACTTAACAGAACTGTGTTCGAGAGTTTGTTGAATCAAAATATATGAACAATGGCATTTTACAACTACATATTCTAATATGTATATCTGTACTTCCTCATTTTTAAGAAATGAGGTTTGAGGGCACGTGCGGTGTCTCACACCTGTAAACCCAGCATTTTGTGAGGCCAAGGTGGGCAGATTACAAGGTAAGGAGTTCGAGAGCAGCCTGATCAACATGGTGAAACCTTGTCTCTACAAACATTCAAAAATTAGCTGGGCGTGGTGGTGCACGCCTGTAATCCCAGCTACTCAGGAGGCTGAAGCAGAAGAATCACTTGAATCTGGGAGGAGGAGGTTGCAGTGAGCCGAGATTGGGCCAATGCACTCTAGTCTGGGTGACAGAGTGAGACTCCATCTCAAAAAAAAAAGAAAAGAAATGAGGTTTGCAGAGCAAAATTTCAATTCAAACTTAAGTATGCCTGACTCTACTCACCATCTCCAAATATGTATCTAAAAATTTACCACTGAGTTCAATCCATGCCTATTCTCCTTCATCTAAGACTAGTGTTTTGATTTATACTTAAGTAAAACACACTTCTCAATAAAAATTTAAGTCTTTAGTCAGACATTTTTGTTGCTACAAATGGACTTGCAGTAAACTTCTACCAAAGTCTAAAAAAATGTAGTTTTTTTTTTTTTTTTTCCTAACAACTTGTTAAAGGATGAACATGCATGTGGTGGTATTTAAGGTCAAATTTTCAAACTGGTTCCTGCTGTGTTGGTCCCTTACATGCCTACAGAGGCTCTTTTGCAAGAGCACACCATAAAATGTATACGTAAGCAATTCTAAATAGTAGTCCAAATAAAGAAATAAAGCATCCCCCAGTTAAAACGTAGAGTATAGTTTCCACAAGAAAAGTCACTAGAATGGAATGCAGAAATGATGGGCAGCAGTTCTCATGGGTGAATTCACATGAAGACGAAACGCTAGACTTTTATCTCATCAAGAAGCTTCCCAAGAAAATATGACGCATTTCTTTAAGTGGTTTGGCACAAACGACATAAATCAGTTCTACTTGTCTCTTAACTACAACTGGTCATCATTTTTTTCAAAACATATTCTTAAAAGGTTATCTGTCAAGAGGTTACATTTGTTGAGGGTAATAAAAGGCCTTTAAAATTAAGATCATTAAAGCAACTTTGCCAGAAACCAATGCAAAACTGTGTAGTATGACTCCTTTTAGGAAGTTATCAACACTCAAAGGCCAGGAATCAATGTCCAAAGCATTTATACTGTGTCTTCAGTTCACGTGCAGCTAGATGTAAGTTTAAGGTATCTTCTGAAGAAATAAGAGCTAACGTAAATTAGAATATTCAGGTCAGTTCTTTTGTAACTTGCTATTCAACAATTCACACAGAAAATAGGCATGTAGTTTACACTCTAATAAAAATCAATGAAAAGCTTTAATTATAATCAAACCTATCTAAAAGGTTAGGGCTTTCTATTTTAAACTACAAGCAAAGGAAGAGCAAGAGTACTATGAATATGAATCTTAAGTACCAAACATTTGAAAATGAAAGTCAACCAAATCCTTGCTTTCTGATTGGAAAATTTGTGTTTATTCACAGATTACATTCAGAGTTGCAGAGGCAGATCCCACTATATCACTAATATGGAGTTGTGCACCTTCAGTGACTCTGGCATCATGATGTATCATTCTCTAAAATATTATCCTATTTCCAAAAAAACTTGTTCACTAAAATATCCTTAATGTATAACTATGCACAGTAGTCACTCAACTAGTTTTTTTTTTTTTTTTTTGAGATGGAGTTTCCCTCTTGTTGTCCAGGCTGGAGTGCAATGGCACGATCTCAGCTCACAGCAACCTCCACCTCCTGGGTTCAAGTGATTCTCCTGCCTTAGTCTCCCAAGCAGCTGGGATTACAGACATATACCACCACGCTTAGCTAATTATGTATTTTTAGTAGAGATGGGGTTTCTCCATGTTGGTCAGGTTGGTCTCAAACTTCCGCCCTCAGGTGATCCGCCTGCCTCAGCCTCCCAAAGTGTTGGGATTACAGGTGTGAGCCACCGTGCCTGGCCTCAACTAGTATTTTTAAAAAATGAATGAAAGAATCCTGAATGGAATTAAAAGAATACAACTTCAAGGAAAAGGTTTAATCATGTCAAAATAATTGAAATTTTGAAGAGGCAGCTGGGAATGATGGTTGAAGATTGAAAATATGTCTAAGAAATTATAGTTGGCCGGGTGCAGTGGCTCACGCCTGTAATCCCAGCACTTTGGGAAGCTGAGGCGGGTGGATCGCAACAAGGTCAAGAGATCAAGACCATCCTGGTCAACATGGTGAAACCCCATCTCTACTAAAAATACAAAAAAATTAGCTGGGCATGGTGGTGCGTGCCTGTAATCCCAGCTAATCAGGAGGCTGGGGCAGGAGAATTGCCTGCACCCAGGAGGCAGAGGTTGCAGTGAGCCGAGATCACGCCATTGCACTCCAGCTTGGGTAACAAGAGCGAAACTCTGTCTCCCAAAAAAAAAAAAAAAAAAAAGAAAAGAAAGAAAGAAATTATAGTTATTTTCAATGACGGTAAAGAAATTGCAGTTAGCTGGGCTGGGATTAAAGAATGAGAAAGCGAAAATGTACTGTTTCATCAAAGGCTATCCATCTATCAGCCGATCAATTTCCTTACTCAAAGTCCAACTCCCTTTTCTACTCAACACTCTTTGTGAATCCCCTGTATCCTTATTCCATTGTGAATTAAGTTCCCTAAATAGTCAATATCTGTGTACCACTGTCCAGAAGTAAATTTCATCGCCGTTTTACCTATCACATCCCTTGATATGTCTCACACCTACTCATTTTTCATATCTCAATTCAGTGTTAATATCCCCTGGAAAGCTTTCCTTTTTGGCTACTTGCTATATTATTACCTGAACTTAGCACATAGTTGGTACATATCTGTCAACTGAATGAATCACTAAATTTTATGAATTCTATCTTTACCAGGCATATTGGGACAGCCTGGCTGATGCCTTGCACCTACCCCTAGATCCTTTGATCCACCTTCCAAAAATTAGTCAAAGTGATCTATAATTTTGGAACTCAAAACTGATCCTCTGCCTCCATGTTTAAAGCACATCTGTGGCTCACAGATCAATAAAGAAGTTGAAATTCTTTAGCATGGTGTTAACATGGCATAGTTATATCACTCATTTAACCTCTCAGGATTTCTCCAATTTTATTTTCAGCCCTCTTTTCTATCCCCTGAATCCTGTTCTCCATCCCAAAACTGGTACCATTTCCACAAACTCAAGAAAATATTTCCATTCTCAGTGTTTTCTCACGTTGTTCCCTCTTAGAATACTCTACTCTTTATTCATACTTTTATGTATCTGGATTTATCTCAAGGGACATCAGTTTATGAAGCATTTCCTATTTTCATCCTTACCCCATACCTTTCCTTGTGTTTATACTGTACCTGTGCATACCGCTATAATGAAAACTATGATACTTGAATCACTCATTGATTTACATCTGCGTCCCTGTATATGCTCTCAATCATTATTGGATAAATGAATGGGAGAATGAAAATACATTAGTTGCAATTCTGAGGTATTTTTACACTATGTTAAAAAAAGTGTCAATATGTTGTACCTAAAAATACTTAAAACCTTTGTGGAACTGGACAAACTGCAATCAAAGTTAGTAACCCATTATAATTTTTACATTAACTCAACGTGTATCCTTGGTTATAATATACCAGTAGAATATTAAAATATACATTTGTAGAAAAGTGATCTTTTAAAAAAGATGGCATTATTCAGATAAATAAGACAGTCAATTATTTGCATATTCCAGGCACTATATTCATTGGTAACATTTAAAATTATCCCAGAAACAAAATTTTAACATCCTATTATGTATATAGGAATGAATATGTATTTAATCCTTATTAGAAATCAGAATGATCACTACAAGAAACACATAATACTATTTTTAAACTCTGAGATTTAAGAACTGCCTTGAAATTATCCTTCTCTTAGTTCTTCAATGATACCATTCCTATTTAGGGGTAGATTTAGTTACATGAATGCCTTTATACATCACAATTTGTGTTTAAGAACTGATCATGTAAAATGAGAGTGATGGCATCCCTAAATATATTCATAAAATGGAAAATGTCAGCACACCACAACACCAAGCCTACCTTTCTGCATCAGAGGCAGTGCCTTTCCTAGTCTGTTTTTGGATGCTAGATCTTTCAGACTTTCTGGAGTGCCTGTGGAATGAAATGTTAAACACAAAATATATGATGAATAAAGCTACATTAATATCATACAATGATAAACGCAATAGACATGAAAAATGGGAACTATACTACCTAAATGAACTTGCCGGTCAGTACTTTTCAAAAATAAATCTCATAAATAAAATAAAAACCAGAATTGGTGCCAGATGGAAGACAAAAGTTGCCCAACAGGAGACGCCAAGAAGCTGACATTTCATTAATCTAGACAATTATGTCTACAACAATGATCTAATACGGACCCCTACTGAGCAACTCTGCCTCTGCTGATGAGTAAACAAATACAATGCTGAGATGTAATAATGATAAATGTGATGATGGTAATAGTTTAGGTGCTGAAAAGCTTCAAAGGGATGACATGCGCTCTACTTTTACAAGCTGAAACTTGGTGCTACAAAGATTTTTTGTTTTGCCCCCTACAAATTATGAACAAAAAAGAAAAATGCTATAGTAAAACATGTTTTACATAAATGAAAGTATTTATATAAACTATTCAAGTCACTTTAAAAAATTTCATCAAGATGCTTTTATAAATTACATGGCATTTTTAAAAGAACATAGCATTTTAAAAACATCACAAATCATACTTCCCAGTTTATTCTACTTTTTAAAAGTATATATGTACACTGAACACTTGAAATGCATTTTTCCCCCACAGGAATAATGTTCTGTAAAAAACTTGCTTCCCTAAGGCAGCCTACATATGTCTAATTAGCCTAAAATGTCTGAAGTACCATATATTTGAAATAATGTAAAATATTGTGGTCAAGAAATTCACACCAATTTTAAAAAACAGAAACCCTAAGAATGTGTATTTAATATTATTATCTATCTACAATTTACGCTTATTTTTCTTTACTGATATCCTTTCCTCCCAACAATGTTGTGACAAATATCTGTCTTTACTACTGTGTGACATCCTAATTAAGTGTCCAGTATATACCAAGTTCTGCTAGGCACTAGAAACACGTATCAAAGTATAAGCCTTCACAGACTATTAGAGAGTTCTGGGACTGCTCATCTCTCCCAATCTCTTCAGCTTTTGCCATAAATTGTGTTCACACTATCTTGTCCCTTCAATTCAGGCTTTCGGCTGTGTTTTCAGACTCACGTTAATCTGACATCCCACTTCTAAGGTAAAAAAGGAAGAAATAGAGGAGGGAGATGTCATATTCCCTCACCAAGTGGAAAAGAGGGTGCTCAATATATTGAGGGATAACTTTGTCAGGCACTGAGGGAGGTATGAGTTTATTTAAACTTCACGAAAATCCTTTAAGAATGTGTCATTTCCACTTCATAGATGAAGAAACAGGTTCAGGGCAAAGCTACTCAGTCAGAAAGTGGCAAAGCTAGGATTAAAATACAAGTCTATCAGGCTCCTAAGCTGTTTCTGTTATATACTATACAGCAAAGAGATGAAGAAGATAGGTTCTGACACATGCCTTACAGGTGTATCTTTGTTCTCGAAGGAAGAAACTATGAAATCAGGCACTGGGAAATCACTAACAGATGACTATTTCTGACATTAAGGTTCTTATTTACCTTATTGCTTCTAGGGTGAGGAGAAAGGATCATGGGTGGTAGGGGAGCAGATATTTCATGATTGATTTTATGGCTGAAATCAATGAGAGATGGTTGTTGGGAATGGAATCTTGTTCCTGAAGTACAGGGAAGAAGTCATAAGCATAGTGGGAGTATGAGAAGGAAGGGGAGAAAAGGGGATTAGTAATTAGGTCTTCAGGCTCAGGAGGTATTGGAGCTCAAAATAAAATATAGTATGGGAAACTAATGCTTGGTCCCCACAGTGCTCAGGGCAACTGACTAGAAGATCAAATGCTCCTTTTCTCATCTTCAGCACAAGTTGAACAGATGTGAGCAAAGAGATTCAGAAAGACCCACAAAACTCACTGTCGTTAAGATTTCCACTCATTCATTCATTCATCCAACAAATACTTGTGCATATATATGCACTAGGCACTGTTCTAGGCGGTTGGAACATGTCTGTGGAAAAAACACAATTATCTCTACCTTCAAAAAATGTACATTTTGTTGATACAAGACAAAAAATAAACAATAAAAAGAATCTCAAACAAGTACATTACATAGTATAAGGAAAAGGTGATACATGCTAACAAGAGTAAACCAGGGTAAGAAGGTGAGAGTTTAGGGGCAGGGCAGATTGCAATTTTAAGTAGGGTGGTTGGAAAGCACTTACTGAAATGGTGACATTTTAGCAAAGGCATAAAGTGAGGGAGATGGCCAAGTATATTGTTAGAGAAAAGCATCTCAGGAAATGGAAATAATTAATAAGGAGGCAGGGGTCAAGAGAAGCGAGTCAGATGAAAAACTTTGTAGGAAAAGGCAGAGAAATTGTGACAAATCTGGTGAACCCTTGTATAAAACTTTTGCAAAATCAAAAGGTTCTAGGCATCTTTTTGAAATAGCCTGCTTTTCTTCTGATCCCTGGCAACTTCTATTATTTTCTAGATCCAATTGAGATTTCATTTCCTCTCTGAAGCTTTTAAACTCTTCCTCCTCTTTTCATCTCCTAAAATGTAATAGATTCATATATTAGATTATCACAGTAATCAATATCATGATAACAGTGATGGTGATATTAATAATATATAACATTTACTGAGGGCTTTCTCTGTGCTAGCATGTTCACTTTGTCGGCATTATCTCATATAATCTTCTTGCCAATCCAGAGGTAGGTACTACAGTACTCTTTTAACCTTTTTAAGGGCAAGAACATTGAGAGTTAGAGATTAATTTGTTCTAGGTTACATGGTCATTCAACATCTAGGAGGTAAACTGAGAGGTCATAACCTGAACAGCAGTAATCATGTTGCATCTCTGGCATAAATGGCTAAAATAATGAATTCTACAGTCAGATTGGGTGTAATCTCAGCTCTGTTTCTGGCTAGCCTGGTGACTTTGGTGAAGTTACTTAATGTCTCCACACTTCAGTTTTCTTTTACCTAAAAAGCGGCAATACTACTACCACTGCACAGGTTTTGCTAATTTTAAATAGTTCAATTAGTACTCAGTATTGTAGTAATTGTAGTTTTTGTAGTATTACATAAAACTAGGATTGACTATGTTTTTTGCATTACTTGGAATTAGCAAGCGGTGATGTTAAAACACTGCTTTAAATAATATTTGTTTCTTGAAGGCAAAGACTCTTCTTACTCATCTATGAAAATATAAAGCTCAGAGCCAGTGCTCAGTAACTAGATAACAAACATTCAGGCAAAAGTTCATAATCTAACCTTTTAATTTTTGTTTTCATTTTTAACCCTCTTATTGAGGATGCTCTTTTTTCTCTTCTAACATCATTGAAATTTACCTTCATTGAAGATTCTCCTAAAGATAACTACAAAAGATATGTCTTTATAATTCTTCTAGCCCCTTAAGAGAATATGCAAATTGAGTTAAAATGACATGCAATTAATTGCAATAATTTCCTGTAAAGAAAGAGCAGAGAATAAAAAAAATTCTAATGTTATTTTCTACTTTCAACACGAAATTATAGCCAAAATATCATATATTTTAACCCAGCAATTTCTTAGAATAAATTGGATTGAGATATGTAAAACAGGAATGGTTAGAACAATCCATCTATATTCATGTACCATACTACTGAAACTATTAACTGTTTAATCACAAAATGGATCACAGTGAAATGAATTTCTTTCTACCTTATACTACTTTAAGTTCCTGGTGGTCAGGAATTATGTCTGCTTGTATTATCAGTGTAACATCAACACCTAGCACATGGTAGTTGCTCAATAATTATTTGTTAAATAGACAGTTTAAAAAGTAGTATTTTGAGTATTATCACAAAATTTGAAAGCCCAAAAATTACAATAAAAAAGAATCAGGGTTATAAAATCTGGTTTGCCCCAAATGAAACAGATTTAAAAATAAAACTCTGCATAATTTTCTAGGCTTCAACAAAATATTAAATACTTAAATAAAACATGACCTTTGGTTTGCTGCCTAATACATAATGAACTGTCAGTCATTATTGAAGGCCTAACGTATGTTTTACTATGATGCAGCAAGAGTATATAGACTCAATTTTAGAGTCTATAGGACATTAGAATTCAGCTAGCCCATCTATAACTAGCTAAGTTTAAATACGAGGAAACTTAGTCCACAAAGGTTTAAGTGTCTTACCCAAGCTATGATAGACCTTAGTAAGTTGATAAGAATAACACCATCACACCCCTGTGTGCTTAAGTTCTCTTTTGACTCTGCCACACATTCATTTTCAATGATTAGATGTTGTTTTGAGAGATCTCTGGGTAGGAGTGAAGAAGACAAGACTGTTTCAGTGTTTTCATTATGTCTTATTTTTAGTTTAAACATGCTTTTTTGGTCTGGTACAAATTTTTTATCTTTACAATATTATTCATAAAGAATATTTACTTGATTTAAACATGGAGGAATCAGAAATCTTGACTTTCTCTCTATTCATAACTTAATAGTTGTGTTATTTGGGCCTTATGCTTTCTAGTTCACAGTGTACTAATGAAATTCTTTTAAAGCTCATTCAAATGTAAGGTATAAAAGCAATTATTTCATTAAATCAAAGCAAGAGTAATAATCAGAAAATGGAATGTTTCTACTTAAACCTCAATTATTTTGAAGTTCCATTTCTAGTGATTATTCCCTTTCTATTAATTTAGTGTGATGATTTATAAAAGGAACTGATGGAAAACAGATATATTTATTAAAATCTATGTGCTTTCTTTTCCTTTTCAGTAACTAATTTCAGTTACAGCAACTCCCTAAAGATGTTAATAAAGCTTTTCTGAAGATATTGAAATTTTATTAAATAAAATACTAAAATTTTACTAAAGAATAAAATTAATAAAATAATATTATTTAAGACTATTTTATACCAATGAAAACATAGTCTGTTCTGCTTTGGAAATACTGTAACAAAAGTCTACTACATAAATCTTTTCATTAATTAGAGCTAACACTGATATCCTAAGAATGTATCTGTCTATATTTTGGCTGGTGACTTAGATGGCTTACACTGTCTTAATGTGCAATGCAAATCTCTTATCACCCTATTTATTCATTAAGTTTGGGAGGGAAAAATTAAATTTGAATAGAATCAACCTAAATAAGAGATGTTCCTATGCAGTGAAGATGGATACATGCAATAAGATACATTTACCTTTCTGTGTATTATTGATATTTATATATTTGACTGTAGCTACTAAACAGACTCACTATATTTTAGTTAATGGGTACACTTTGTTAACAAAGAGAGAATATTTTTGAAAATCACAGATAATAAAGGATACTACAGAGTAAAAAGAAATAATAAATAATGTACTAAATTTATAAGCAGTTCTACACTAACTCTGAAAATATGTGGCAAATGCCATGAATCCTGGAAACAAAAGAGTGTGATTTGTCTCAAAATATTTTCAAAAAGGGAATCAGATTAATTCATTTTAATCAAAAGAAACCACTTAATACTCTTGGTTGAGGATTCTTATAGACAAATGTCTGCCACCAACTGACAGGTATAGAAAACTACACAAATTTGGGTATCTGCAAAAGAAATCAGAGCTACTTTAGCAGAACAACTCAGGAATAATTTTAAACACAGTGGAATGCTTTACTTATTTGAATAATTTAAAGATCTGGAAATAGGATTACTTTACCAAATATTTTCAGTATTTGAGTTATGTATTACTAAATTGTACCCTTAAAAATCATATATATTGATTAAAAACCATTCTCAAACTGTTGAAGTTAGTAACTCCAATGATTTGTTAAAGCCAGGTGTACATTTAAAAATATACCTCAAAATGTACCCAGTAAGAATATTGCATTTTCTTGAATAAAACATTTACCAAAATAGATAAAGCTGAATTCACTAATAACTTATACTAGCTTTTCATCCATATGGACAACTGATTAAAGTGTAAGTACTAAACTCAGAACCCTGATGCTTCAGGGCCATATTAAAATATATTTAATCTAACTGGCTATTTACAAATTTTGAATATTTTCAAGGTACAACTCAATCTAATTAAAACTCACAGAATGATGTATATATAGGTTCATTAGAATTTTCGTGTATTAAAATAATTTTATTTAGAAAGGGATACTTTGTTATTGGGATGATGATTTTTTAAATGTCAACATTTTTAGAAATAAAACTAAAAGGAAATTTTCACTGCAAATTTAAAAGAAACATCCCCTGAAATTACAAATTTATGTATTTTTTCTTGATCAATGTTTTAAATTTCCTCAACATCTAGAAAATATTCCTAGATAAACGTATCTTTATATTAATTCCAAAAAAATCTATGGTATCACTTGAGATAAAACTCAGAAAGCTTACTATTAAAATTAAATTATTGAGAAATAGTTGACTAAAAATTATTTATCTGTGTAAACATACATGCTGTGGGAAACAAGAAGGCAACTAAATGCTTTTCCATTTATTTGAATGTGCTGGAGAACTCTCTTAAGCAATAACATAATGTTCTGTATTACAATGTTATTTTCAAAATAATTAACTACGGCCCTGATACAAGATGTCCAAAGGTGAATCGTATAAATTGTCACTTATACACCAGTGTCCTATGACAAAAGTCACGTAATGCCCAAATTCTTATGAACACTCACTGTATCCAAATCTGATGCCATATTTACTTCATTTAGAAATTGGTAGAAACTTCTGACTGAGTAAATAAAGCTGATGAGAGATGAAATGCCAGTGTTCACTATGATTTGCCAAGTGGTTGACATGGTAACCTATGAATTTAGCATTAATTGACATAATTTATCTTTCATTTTATAAGTAAAAATTAGTCTCGTATTTTAATGAAATTGTATTGTGAATAATTTTCTATTCTTTACACAAATAATAGTATCAAGAGATGTAAAATATATTTCTTTTGGTCAAACATAGGACTTATCTATAAATAAGTCATCATAAAAAAGCAAAATACATATTCAAAATTATGTATTTAATAATTTAATAATCTTATCTAAAAGAATCATTTCTGTTCCCCAAATCTATCCTTATATATACAATCTAGACAATCAAATAGAATAATTCATATGCCACGAAATGAAGCTAATAACATCTCGTGTATGTAAGAACTGAAAGCATTATTTGAATTTCCAGTATGCTTAATAAATGCCCAGATAAACTTACATTTATACTCATTACAAAGACCATTATGTTTAATTTTCCTATACTCAGTCACTACAGAAGATGAAATATACTATTCATTTTGGAGTACATAGAAAGATTTTCTAAAATTATCTTTTCTTTTTTCTTTTGGGGGTGGGAGGGAAGGCAGGGTCTCACTCTGTTGCCCAGGCTGGAGTGCAGTGGTGTGACCATGGCTTACAACCTTGACCTCCTGGGTTCACACAATCCTCCTGCCCCATCCTCCTGAGTAGCTGGGACTTCAGGCATGTGCTTCCACACCCAGCTAATTTTCAAATTGTTTGCAGTGATGCAGTCTCACTATGGTGCCCACGTTGGTCTCAAACTCCTGGGCTCAAGTAATCCTCCCCGCTTGGCCTTGGCATCCCAAAGTGCTGAGGTTACAGGTGTGAGCTACCATGCCTGGCACAGAATTATCTTTTCTAAAAGAAAATTCTAAGTTCCTTGATGGCAAGGACTTTGTCTATATTAACCACTGTTGTGACCTAGCCAATAGAATTTGTTACTCATTTATTCAGTAAATAAGTATTAAGAATAAATATTTATTGAATAAATGAGCAGCAAATATAGACACAAATTTTTATTTAATTTACATAATTATTTTATGTTCTTATTTGAAAAGACTTTATTTATACTTGGAATATTTTTTAGATTAGTGACTAGTTTTTCTAGTCCCAGAAATTCTATCCTAGAAATCAGACAGTAGCAGAAATAATTACATTTAATTTCCAAATATGTAAGTATAAATCATATTGAGGCAAGTATCTCAAAGATTAAAAGATGCTAAAATGTTCCTGAAACCTTTGTAAAATATCTGTTTGTAGTCTTTTCCAATATTTGTAAAATAATCTTAATTTTTTCTTGGTGACAGTGTTTTTCCAATATTTGTAAAATAATCTTAATTTTTTCTTGGTGACAGTGTTTCCTTTTTCTTTCAAGCTAAAATCCTGAGGCCATCTTGATTGTTTACAAATACAGAAAATAAACTGTATCATCCTTAATTAGGGCTCAAATTACTCTGCCATACACACACATACTAAAAAAAAATCTATATGTTTATATGACTAGTTGTTCTGCTTCTGAGATACCACATTGCTTATCTGCTGAATAAATATTGCCAACGTTTTTTGGCTGAATTTCTGCTTATACCAGAAGAGAAGCATCTTAAACACCCAAAAACCTTTGTGACCAGTCAGGAAAACATAATAAAGATAAGGCCTATATGTATAAACACCATAAAATAGGAAAACCGGGACAACTTCAAATTGAGAATAACAAAGTAATGGAAAATATATGTTGTGGCACTTCTGACATATCAGCATAAAGTGGATTCAAAGCACTGATGCTATTTTTAAAAACCTACCTTGTGGACTAACCCGTTGGCCCTGGACAATATTATGTTTAACAATAGAATATTTATAAAATATATAAAACCAGGTATTTTACTTTATAAGGCAGACATTTCCCAATATAACAAAGCCTAAACTTCATTTTTAACAAGCTTACACAGCAGCAAAACAAGACAACTGAGATAAAACCATCAACCAATATAACAAACAATAGGCTCTGTGACAGATTTTAATATACTCTAAAGCACCTGAGAATTTTTATTTATTCACTTATAAACAAAAACAGTATTTAAATTTGTTTCCAGAAATTCAAAACACAATCGAATGCTCTTCAGTAAATATTCTGAGGTGCTTTATTAGAGTTGGCTACATCCAACATATCTGGCTCTGGCTCCTGGAAAAAAGCACATCATATTCAACATTTCTCTTGGCTATCCTTCACTTTGTGGCCTATAAGCTTCTAGAAGCCACTTGTCTGTGAGGAGGAGTTGACTAGTACCTGTCATTCTCCGGAGACGCATGCTGGATTTGAATCCTGGGACTAGGAGGTCGTCTCCTATCTAGGGAGGGGGACCATCTACCCCTGTTTGCCCAGTGAACAAGACAGGAAAAAACAGGACATTTAGTAACTCCTAAAATAAAAGAATACATGGAACAACAGGACTGGAAAAGCACCCCATAAAGGCAAAGTATAGATTCTTTGCTCCATAATTTAATCTTTGCTATTATAAGCCTTGGAAAGATAAGCTATAATACTTTAAGAACATAAAACCTGTAATCTTACAAGTGAATAAAGAAACAATTTATTAGGAAAGACGTTTGGAATCCACCTAATAAGTGCAGTTTCGTTCTTCCAGAATATGCTTCTATGTGCATATTTATCTAGAAACATATAAATATTAATGTAACTTTAAGTTGTTAAAGATGCATCTTTAAGAATCTGGCTTATGTCTGAATAAATAGGCTTAATCAGTTACCAATGATTATGTGATACCAGGTCTTGAAATTACTGGATAGTGTGGCAAAGGTGGGAGTGTGTGAATTTAATACAAAGTAAGAATACAATTAAGTGGAATAAATAAAAATCTTCTTTAGTATTGAAACAATGACATAAAGAAATAATTCATGGGAAAGCTCCTAGTGAATTCTTAAGTTTTCTTCAAAAACCACAGGGTTAATTACTGAACATTAAAACCTGTAAGTAAACAGTACTGATAAATAAAAGAGCATAGATGTATGAAATGATAAATTAGCCTTAACTATTTTTTTAGTTTCACGAGTTTCTATTTGCAAAAGTATGTCTTAATTGGTTAAACGGTTGCTTTTTAGCTCAGCATTTACAATACTTTTCTTGTGATAAACAGTAAACAAACGTTACAAAACTGGTTCATTCCTTTGTTAAACTACCCTTAGATTCTGTCCGTGTACAGCCACAAATTTCAAATATCTAGTTAAAACTGAAGAGATAAGACATTGAATGGGCCACATTTAAACATTTTTATATATTGTATATGAATTCTAACAGGATAATTTTCTCTAGATATTGGCTTTCTTATATGTAAGAAGGAATAGCTGAATAGTTTTAAAAGACTCATTTAGGTATAAGATTTTATAATTATCCACAGGGGTCTAGCCCTAAAATTCCAAAAATAAAAGTTTTCTTTTTGAAAACATGCCAGATATAACTTGGTTTGCTGAATATTTTAGACTATCTGGCCAAACACAGCAAAGGGCTTTTGTCACTTAGGATATGTGAGGTTATCAGATACTTAATTCTGAAGTCCTCTGGAAGCCTTTGTTTAATCAATCTTATATAGACAAGCTTGGCATGATTCAAGTCAGGCTTTGAAGAAGTCATGAAGCAAGTGAAGATACTGAATAGCGGATTTTGAGCAGAAGATAAAAATGTGTAGAACATACTCTTAAATGTGATAAATGTTTATAAAATAACACTTTGCATTCATTTTAAATTATTTAATTCTTTCAAATTATTTAAAGGGTTGGTCAATCCAATCTTAATGTTTTAAAAAATTTCTTTTCAGTTTACTGGCTTTTGTTCTATAGATAAAATAAAAAACCTTTCTAAAATAATTGGAAAACAATTACAACTACAGCATTTTCTAAATTAAGGTATACTCAGTTTGTGTTAAAATTTTTGGTGTTATTTGAAAACACAAATACAGACTTAGCCTTTTTCTGTGAAGTAATAATATTAACTTGATAAGAGTTATGAATAACCTTGCTTCCCAGGGCAAAATTCCAGTCCTTGTGTTTATTTAAACATAAAAGTAAAGAAAAAGCAAGTAAAAATGGCATAATTATGAAACACGCAGTGAAAGCTATGAAGGAGAAACGTGTACATTTGGAAACAAGCAGTTGTGAATGCAAGCCATTAAAAGGTAATTTTAAACAAATATTTAGCTTAATAAATGTATATTTGTATACTCAATGTCCTTCTGAATATGCTGATATGTAGTACCAATATAAGAAATCTGTTTTTTTCCCACATAAAGTGCATACAAGGAGAGCAGGATCAATTTATATCCAAGTTTTTGTCCTAAGAATAGATGTTACTTAAGCTTTAATAACACTTCGTAAGTTTTACCTATATAGCATATTTTATATGCTTTCCATAATAGGAACTACTTCTATTATTTTTCCTATTACAAATAATAACCAAAATTAGAATCTTTATCTCTCTTCCCAACTCTGGTTATTGAGAACTATATATAGCTTCAACTTACATTTCTATTTTCATTTTACAAGCTAATATGGCAGGGTACGCTAGAGATTTTAATAATAAAGTTTAACTAAACTAGACCTTTCTTGATTTGTATTTCCAAACCAGCCTACCTAAAAGTTCATTGTTTAGTTACCTCAGTAAATTACTAGTATTTTAGTATCAGGTACTCTAAATTCATTAATTGAGGAACACATATTTCTTGGGAGCCCACTCCTTTCACTGTGGTTGGAAGAAAAGAAGATCACTCTGAAGGTTACAGGATTGAATGAACAGGCTGTGAATTCCCTAAAGAAGGAAAAACAGTGGGGCTTTTTTTTTTTTTTTTGACAATTACATCCATTATGCATAGCACAGAATAAATAAATATTTGTGAATGTTTAAGTAAATAATGATATAAGGCTATAGACATTATATGGAAATATAAATCTTTCAATCTATAAATAGCACAAATTAAAAATATGTATGAGGTATTACAGCATTAGAAACCAAAACAAATGAGAGAACTGATTTTAAACACATATATTTTTATTGTCTATTTTCATTATTCATTTTAGTCCTTAAATTTTTGTTCTTAATATTATTTTAAACTAAATTTCACTCATTTTAATTAACACAGATATTTATACTTTGAAACAACATCTATGATATGTATTTCAATTCAATATATAACTATTGATTTTTAAAAGGTAGAAACTTCTTTTTCCTTAAGTCTCATGTTTCCATTTTGAGGAAAATTCATTCAAGTAAGCCTTTCCTCATTGCACCCCAAGGAAGAAAGAGTAGCTTATATGATAGGTGACTATGATAAAGAATTGGGCACAGAAAACTTAGCCCTTTCTGTATTCCTCTTTCCAAATTTTATTGCCTGCAAACAGCACAACAAACAAACTTATAAAGCAGTGATGACATTTGAGGCTTGACCCTGTAGCAGAAGTTTATGTGGCTCATAAACCCAGAGTGAATCTGGCTGATTCTGGAATTAGTTATTAGCCATCTTGCAGACTCAAAGCCACAGCTTTAAATTCTGTTCAAAGTATTTATAGTGAAAATTACATCTCCCATCTTTCTAGTACCTAGGTCTAACTCACAGCTCAATCCAAATTTGAGAGTGAAAAGCAGTGGGTGTTTTTTAAGCCCCTAAAATCCCCAAGTAAAACATTTGCAAGTAAAAAATACGTAATGTCACTAAAGATGTAAAAGAGAAATAGGATATTATTCCTGCCCTCAATTAGAAATTTTAATGTTAAAAACCGAACCAAATGAGATAACTGATTATACACATATGTATTTTTATTGTCTGTTCTCTACTATTCATTTTAGTCATTAAAATTTTTTCCCAATACTGTTTTACACTAAATTTAACTTACTTTAATTATTACAGATAGTTATACTCTGAAACAAGCTCTATGATATCTATTTCAATTCAATATAGCCATTGATTTTTAGCCAAGAACTTCCTTTCCCTTAGGCCTAGTGTGTTTCTTCCACTATATGTTATAGCAGAAGGCACAAACATACTACAGTACTAAGCAAAATACAAATGTATTTTAATAGAAGCATATAAAATTATGTGGGCCCAGAAAAGACAGTAAATAATTCTGACTGGCAAAAGAAAGGGAAGTGTGTATGTTTGTTGGTGGGGAGACCAAGCAGAGGGGAGGAGGTTAAGAAGGGCTTTACAAAGATATGGCATTTAACCTGCATTTGTAACAACGAGCAGAATTTTTAATCAGGCAAAAAATGAAGAAGAATATTTGAATTTTAATAGAAAACGAGATATAAGGTAGTAACAATTATTAGAACTTAAGAAAATTAATGGGAGCAGGAGAGTTACGGAACTGGAGAAGGGCTATTAATATAATCAAGGTGAGGAACCTGTTCTGAAAGAATTGACTGAATTTATTGTGACTAAATTTGTCAAGGAGCAGGAAGAGAAGTAGTTCCAGATTATGGTTGTATGTCAAAACCATAAAATGAGAGGAAAATTTACAAAGAGGAAGCATTTTTGCCATAAAAGGGCAAAACGGGAGATAATGAAGTTGATTTAGATATCACCATTTAGAAATTTAGGCGTGGTAGTGCCTGGTCAATCACAGTGGAGGGTTATCTTCATATGTATTAGAGTGGGAACCTTTTATAGAAATAAAATTTAAGGAACAGGACATCATGGGTGGGGCAAAAGAGGAAAATTGGGGGTGGAACAAGGGAAATACTATCTTTATGGGACAGGGGAGTAAGACAAGCCTTCAAAGGAGACATAATAACGAGGCTTAAGGAAATCTGTACAGGTACTTAATGGAGAAGAGATTCAAGTGGCAGGGTGGCTAATGTAAAACGCTGCAGGATGCTGCTGAACAACTTGGGAGCCAATGTAAACCACAGAAGAATTTCAGCACAGCTATAGAGCACTAGGAATGAGCAGATATCAGACTGCAGGAATTACTGGAAGGTAAAAAATGCAGGTGGTAAGGCATACATTACTCTCTCATAAGTCTTCACCAAGAATATGATTGCTCTGAAAGACCAAGGAAGAATATAACCATTCAGAAAAATGGCCTTAAAATCTTTGCTTATGAACATGTAAGCAATAATTTGTTTGAAAACCTAGAAAAGCAAAGTTAGTAGCAGGCCTGTAACTCACTCTTTGTCAATCAGGGAAGCAGGGGGAATGGGAAGATATAAATGAGAAATTATCTATTCTTAAAAATAATAATTCTCAAGTTTCTTAATTTATGAAGCATAACTGAATTGGAATAATTAAATGAATCATGGTAACCCATAAGCATTTTTTCTATTTGTGTAATCAACAGAACATGAAATGGAGGTGCCACCTAAACTAAAATGGTTTCCTTTCCAAACTACCTTTTAAATGCATTATTCAAAACTCATCTGTTAAAGTAGGCCAAACCATACAACAAGGGAGAAAAGATAGGTGTATCTGATGGTTTTCTCTCCTTCAGGAAAAGAATGCTGCTCTTTTATCTTCTGAATCATTAGTAAAATATGATATTGAGTACTAAGTGTGCTTGAACAATTTCACCCTTTATCTTAACAGAAAGCTTGTTTCAAAAATTAGGAGTTAAGTTGGTATAACAGTATGTAAATGTTAATCAAAATGGGTTAGAATAATCAAATTGTTTGACCACACACAGTTCAAAGATTTTTAGAAATAATGTTCTTCTTTTAAGAATATAAAATTAAGTTTTTAAAACATTTGCTCTAACATTTTATCTACTATGTATGTTAGACATTAATACAAGAAGCCCTGTGGTCAATAACAGAACTTAAGTAGCCTGGAAAACCCTCTAAGCCTCCTTGTCTTACTCTCCACATACTGACTGAGGGTTTTAGACACATTCTCCAAGGATAACAAAGTCACCACTCTTGGTAATGTTATCTTCCATTTCAAAGCTGCTTCATAGGCATGTTCACAAAGCATCTACAGCTTCTGTACTTACTTGATGAAAACTTATCTAAGTTTTATTTTATATTACATAAAATAATTGTTGTTTTTCTTGGCAACAAAGTAACCCCAATAAACTAAGGACCACTGATAATACCAAGACTTGTTTCATTGAGTTTTTAAATGAAATATTCCTTTTTATTCAATCTGTAGGGTGAATATATGTTTTCAATGATATTCTGTCTTCTTCTATTCAAGGTAAGTATACTTACTTGGACTTTACAACAACCTGTGCAATAACTTTCCCTAGATTGTGTACGGTTGACCTGTTTTAAGGATATTATCTGACAGATTAAATTTACCAACATAGAGATTTATTAACTCTGTGGCTTCAGTGTCACAAGGGAACATATGCTAGACAGGCTTCTCCATAAGAATAGACCTGCACTGTCCAATACAAGAGCCACAAGCCACATGAAGCCATTGAGCCCTGTAATATGGTTAGGTCAGAGTGGGATATGCTGCAAGTACAAAATATCCTTAGTAGCTATGACTTATACTATAATAAAGGGAGTGCAAAATATCTCACTAATGGTTTTAAATGATAATTACATGTGAAAATTATATTTTGAATATACTAGGTTAAATTAAAATTAATTTCATAATTTTAGTGTGGCTACTAGAAAATATTAAAGTAACATCTTGCATTATATCTCTATCAGATAGCACTGATATGGATAATATTAAAAATGTCAGGGTGCTACGGTCAGAAGATTTCACTGACCTGAGAACTTCTATCCTTGTTTTAATACTAACCAGAAACATGTAAGAAAATAATAACTAAACATATTTTAAAATTTTCCTGCTACTCTTGTAATTATTTAGGGGGGTTATATATGACAAAAGAGAATGATAAAACAATTCCAAATGTGATTTTAGAAGAGTATATAATCATAACAACTGAAATTTATATTATAATAGTAAAGGGATACAAAATAGAAATTAAATTTCACTTTTTTCTATTACAAATTTTACAAATATAAAATACACAATTTAAAAGTAAATTTTTAAGACACTAAAAAAAGATATGTACACCTGCACCTATTGTTCAATTCCAGAAATAAGCATTTCAAATAACTGAATAGACTCACATTAGAAATATACCTAAAGAAAAGCTTTAAGTAGCCCCTAAGAAGGAGAAGTAGATTACATTAGTACAACTAAATATTTATTCTTCAGGATTTGTAAATATGTAGTATGCAAGTCTCTTCTGAATGACTTCTAATTAAAAAGAGATAGCAATTATAATAGTTCCATCACAATGGAAAAATTAGATGCTTACAGCTAGGAGACAGTGTAACACATCATCAATGAACACCTTTTAATTAAAATCAGAATTTATTAATTAAAGTTTTAAGCAACATTATCTGTGTACATATATATGTACTTATTTTTGTTAGGCACCAGGAAATCTATGATTAACATACCATTTTTGGTTGTCGAAGTATAATTTAATGTAAAACACTATATCAAAGAGTAGATTGATTAAAAATGAATGTAGATATACAAAGGAAGTATTCTATTAAAAAAATCCTATTATGAGTTTATAAAAGATTGTTGCTTCATCTATAAATACTATTTGTCAGTGGTACTAAGAGTAAAGTGATCCTCCCCTTGGGATAATTCACTGGACCTTATAACATTATCAGCATACTGAAGGCTTCCTGAATAGTGTGTCAATAAAACGACTAAACAGCAACAAAAGGGGAAAAGCAGCAGCCAGAAGCAGTTACAAATTACATCACACTATTTGCGACAACATTCATAGAAATATGTGTATGTGTACCCTTGGGCTTATCCACATATGCATATCTCTACATAGACATATATAATAAGGGAGGGGGAAATGTAGACAGTTAGCAAAGTGAACATGAATGAATAAACCTGTGAGGCTCTCACGAAACAAAACAAAGTGATTGAAAAAATCACCAGTACAAATGATAAGAAATTAAGAAAGTCTTTATTTTATACCTTTCTCGTTCTGGTGAATGCAAACTAGTATCTGGTCTCAAGCAGTTGGTACTAGCACTCCTAGCCCTGTCAAGAAAGGGCTGCAGTTCACTAGTGCCAGTGCATTGCATCCAGTGGTAGAAGAGAAAGACAGAGAAAACAAAGAAAGGAAGACCATGTTAGAGAGTAAAGCATAAAATAATGTCCCCTTTACACAAAATGTAGAATCACTGGGATTCAGTTCATAAGGGTGTGAGAGAGTTGACAGAATGACAGCGTAAAATTTTGTTTAGAAAATGAAACTAAACAAAGATTATGCTTAAATTGCTTTGCATAATTTTTAGAAGTGTCTCAGACTGAAAAATGAGACTAAATCACACCTACTTATGAAAAAAACTGGATACAGAAAGCACTAAAACAAAATGCCTAAAATTTCATTACCAAGAACAGATGCCACACCAAAACAAAATGAAGGACATCAGAGGAGAAATAATTGTACAACTCAACTTTTTTGGTTCACAACAATAGACAAGGGAAATGGAAGATACCACTTCCATATGTTCTTACCTAACCAGTAACTCATCAGTAAATCTCAATACTCTTGAGTTAAAGCATTCATGATGAAGGGGAATGTCCTGTCTAGTCACTGATCTGGTCTTAGTATGTGCAGGCAGAATTGAGCTTCACAAGTTAAAATTACACAAAAATAAAATAAAATAAATAATTAAAATCAACAAGTACAACAATATACAAATAACAAAGCAACTAGAATTTTGATATTTGAGTTAGATTTCATTTAGATAATTATTCTAGTACTAAGTTTTATAGTTAAAATGATTTTAAATGTCATTAATTTGATGTTTCTCATTGTATAATTATTTCAAAAGAAAATACTTTATTAGAATGTAAATTTTCTATTTAATGTTTTATTAGAATGTGAATTTTCTATTTTTAGCAGGCAAGGGATTAGGAATTACTTTATAACTGGGTGGGACTCACTGTTATGGCTCTTACCTGTAAATATTCCACTGAGAACTGCTCTGTAATAAAGGCATCTTGGGAGGTAATGTTTTATAATGCCTAACAAGATGTCTGGAACACAGCAACACAAACATGCAAAAATATATATAAAGCCAATTTTATTAAGATACTCAGAAACTAGAGGCCTATAAAACTATATAGATAAATCTTTTGTCTTTTTTCTCAAAAGAACCACAATAACGATTTGAAGGGAAGACTAAAATTATTAAAATATGAAATCATACACACTTGACTTCATAAGATAATCAAAATTATTATTTAATTATCTGAATTAGAAAAATATCTGCTAACCAAACTCTATGATTATTATTGGTCAATATTTTAATGCACTATTTAATCCCTGATTTAATATTATACCTACTTCTACGGAAGTAAGCAACTCATAGCTAAAAGTAAAAATCAACAACTTTATATAATTTGGCAGTTAAAATATGACTAAAAGAGTTAATGTTCTAAAACAAAACAAAGGATTGACCAGCATTCCAGGGACAAGGCTGGTCATAGTACTAGACTGCAGCAAAGAAACAAAAGAGCAAAAGGCCAAGAAGTGATTCCAGAGGAGCAAGTTATTTTCTACTTATTGGCTTCTGTCTAGATCCAGGCCCAAACACAGGAAATTTACCACTGGAAGAAGGGTGAGATGAGCATACGATGTAAACCAAAACATGGATTTTGAATCGGCAGAAAATTGACCCAATGGCACCTGATTCCTTTAAAAATCTATGAAGGATTCTGGACTGTCTATGCCATGAAGGATAAACCAGGTCCAGCCAATTATTTATTTTTTTGTCATTTAAATAATGTTTCATAAATTTAACTATTAATTCTGAAAATTCACCATCTACTTCAGTTAGCAGTAAAGCACAATCAAGAAGAAAGGGAATAAACATTTATCAAAGACTTCTAAACATCAAACACCTCACTGGTTTAATCATATTTATACTAATGATTAAATCAAAGGAAATCCCTTAAAGCTTCAGTTAAAAAAAGGAATTAATTTTTTTTTTTTTTTTTTTTTTTTTTTTTTAGCAGTAGAGACAGGGTTTCAATGTGTTGGCCAAGCTGGTCTCAAACTCCTGACTGAAGTGATCTGCCTGCCTTTGCCTTCCCATTTTTAAGCACAAACTGAGGACAAATTTTATTGAAACTAAGGATTTAGCCTCCTTTCTTGATGTAGAGTTTTCTTTTCAACTCTTAACCTCAGGCAAATCTATCTTTAGTAATAGGTTTCTATAAAACTTTTCTAAGCATTGCTTCAAAAACGATTTTTTTTTTCAACAATGGGATCAACATAGAATGGGAAACAGCTAGAAAACAGCACAAAATTTATAGTCTGAATGTTCAAGTTCCTGCTTTGACTTTGCCACTTATCGGCTATGACCTGGATAATTCGATTAAGTCTCCAAGCCTGCTTCTACATTCACAAAATGTGGGAAATAACATCCACTTCAGAGGGTATGATAAGAATTCAATGAGATAACAGGTATATAATATCTAGGACACAGCAGGATATAATAAGGCAACTACAGCATTTTCTCTGTAGTACCACTTCCTCAGGATACATTTTACTAAAAAAGGGTTGGGCAATTAAATAATTTGGGAGAAAAGGAACTAAACATTACACAGATTTCTTTAGAACATGACTTCAATATGCTGTGTATATTAAATTTCAAGGTAGACACTTTTATTTGCAAAGTTTCCAAAATATATTCGACTCACAAAATATTTTATTGGTGGAATACTTCATAGTATGAGTTTTCACATTTTTGGAAAAACTAGTTTAGCAGAAGATATGAAATAGACATGATTTTGAATCCTTGCTGTATTCGTTGTCAAATAAACTATCTTAGCTTTTTTCCTCATCGCTAAAATCAGGATAATGATATTCATAACATGTAATTCCTGTCAGGAAATTGACATAAAGTACATTATATACTTAACACTATGCTTGGTATTAAATAAATTTTATTTTCCTTATGTTTACTGAGGACTAGTAAATCCTCAGATTTTATTTTTGAAAATCCTAAGTGAAAATGGTACGATATTTTGAAAGCTTTAGATTTGAGTCACTGATAGTTATATAAATAATAAATTTCAATAATTTATATGAAAGCAAACTATATTATTGATATATTTATACAAAGCTGTGGTTATTTATATGTACTCATGTTGACATTCATTTTTATTCAGATAGAAATTAAATGCTTTTATAAGTACAGAAATATAAACACAGAAGAGATTACATATATATACACATACATATATTTTAACTCATGTTTTCTCTATCTTCAAACTTTTTGCATTACACATTAGAGAATGAAAGACAGGAAGGAGGAAAGACACTGGTGACATACATTTTGCACTGACACACTTGGCTAGCTCAGCTTCTACTTCCTTATTGTCATAGTATTGTTCACAGGACTTGATCTGCCTCGCTGAATACTCATCTATTTTTAAACTGTATACATACAAATATGGTATCTGTTTAAATCAGGAAATGCAAAGTCAACACACAGTCCATTAAACAGGACATATGGAGCTCAGAATTAGCAAAGCATCAATCTTAAAGGTAAGATTGTATAAAATAATGCAACTATGCAACTATATACTAGTATATGTTTTACAAGTACAAAATAAGGGAAAGAAAAAATATTTTTAGCTATTATAATTAGGTGTGAGTGTCCCAGAAATACTCACACATTGAGTGCCAGGCACACACTAGTTGGCTTAAAATATAAGGATCTTTTTGTGTGTGTTTGTTTTGTGTGCAATTTTTTCTTTTGCAGTTTTAGTCACATCAATAGGACTGTGAGAAAACTTTCAGAATTAGTAAAGAAACCATTCTTATTAAGAAATTTTCTGTCAAAAAGAACAACTAATAAAAAACCTAGATAGTTCATGCTTTGACTTTCAGTAGGTTTTTATAATTTGCATGATTTTACATTTTTTTTTTCTCAGGAAGAAGTAATTAATATTTCCTCATTTTTTTCCTGTGGCACTCCAAGCAAACATGACAGTAATCAGTAGCATAATTTTAGAGTGTAAAAATTCAAACAGTTTTTATTAGCCCAATTTTGTTTGCATTATTGGGCAGAACTACGTATTACACAGAGACATACTAAATCATGCTTTTGCCTTTGTATCCCAAGTACTACAGTTATACTTCTTTCCTTTTCTTTCCTCTTGCTTTTCATTGGCTAAAATATTTGAGTTTTATTATAATGTGTTGGTTTGTTTCACTGACTTACTACTTCCTTAACTTCCATATTCATTTCAAGTACACAATAAGTATTTCTAGAATATGTTCCATGAGTAATCTGTAAGAAGTTTTACTTTGGATATGAAATCAAAGATGTAATGAGATTAATATAAAGCATCAGGCTCTAAGCTCCAAGTTAGAAGCAAAAATTTTATCTTTTCTCACTTCTAAAGAGTTATTAATATTGTTACATGCCTTTATGGGAAAGGTTGTACTGCAGCCATTTCTGAAAACTGGTGGGCTGGACAGTTAAGATTAGGTTGAACATCCTCACTTTTTATCAAGAAAGAAGCTGAAGCTCAGCCATTAAAAATGAACTAGTAAAAATGTTATCAAAAGCAAACAGAATATAAAGAACAATAAAATCTGAAATGAAATAATAAAGGCTATAACAGAGCAAACTTACAATTTTGAAACAATGACACTGCCATACACAGATTAGACCTTTTGTGACTAGACAGGAATGTGTGTAGGAAGGTTGGGTGCATTCACAGTGAGCATTCAGAATTTTAATGCAGAAACTGGTTCCTCAGTTTTAGGAATGTAAACAGTCTCAGAGAGACCCACTGGTCTCTGGATTTTTGAATGTACAGATGGCAAAGTAGTCTGCCTGAATCATAAATGAAATATATTTGGAACCTTTTCCATAACCTCAATATAAAACAAAACAAATTTTGAATACTTGGGAAATTTATTTTACCTGCTTATAATAATACCACTAAGGGAGAGACGGAAGAGTAGTAGAATGAAAAGAGAGTCATCACACACAGTCACCATTACCAAATCCCTGTATTTACCTGGTAGTATGTAGGCATTCTGCACTTCGTCCTCGTTTTGCTCTGGGCAGCATAAGAAGCTCACTGCACAGACAGGATGGGTGGTGAGTGAAACAGATAAGTTATGAGACATGGGTTATGCCAATGGTATGCCAATGAAAACATGAAAAGGAAAGAAACCAGATTGTCTGCACTAGCATATTTGCTTGAGAATTTAAACAAAAATAAACATGAAAGCATTTAAAAAATTTAAACAATAAAGTACAAACATTATGGTTGAAATCCTAGCGGTTGCTGATTTGCCATTGTATTTCAAAACGATTTTATAGAATATTAAAACAAAACAAAATTAAATCATCCTCAAATAAGATATAGAAATCTGTTTCCAATGATAGAAAACTGAGTATGTTTTTAAAAATACTATAAATTTGGACTGATGCTAATGGGAACCCTGAACATTTTTATTTCTTTATAGCAAATTAAAGCATGATAGTTTTCTTGTCTATGATAGCCACTGAAAATGCAATATGATATTATGTTTCTTATTAGCCAACTAACAATATAATTGATTAGGACTTTTTAAAATTTAAAATTAGTACTTTTTCTATATCCAAATTAATTTCACTATATTGACTGCCCTGGTCTAGTAGCCCTGTGTTTTCTCTCCTCACCTAAATTGATGGTGGCACAAATGAATGCTGATAAAATAGCCCTCATTCAACTCAAGCTGAGATGTCTGGAATCCTATTCCTCAGAGCAGCTCTTCATCCTGGTACCTATTGTGATTCCATTCTTGAAGGTCACAGCACTACTTTCCACAGTAGGATGGCAGTTAGGTAGATTAAGAAGCTTTACTTGGGTTCTATGTTCTGGACTCCATGGCAAAAAATCATTCAGCACCACTATTATGACCCTACTCCTCACTGAAAGTTTCTCCACTTTAAAACGCCAGAAGAGGATACTCAACAAGGTGGGTATTATAAAACCTTAACTCAGATCCTGAGCTTATAATCAAGCTACTTGTACAGGTATATGGTTACTTTGAGAAGAAAGTCTGTGGGCACGTAGAGCAACAGATTCATAACGTAGACTTATAGTAATTGCTTCCATGAAATATTAGCTCACAAATAAATGCAGAATTAATCTAAGTACATATCCCCATAAGAACCCATCTCAATATTTTGTATTCTATAGATGTTTTCTAGAAAGAGATTTTATGAAAAGAGGCATATAACAGAAACATTATTATTGAAGTTATCATGGAAACTCTGCAATTAACTGTTTTCCAAATGACATGTATCCACAATGTTTTTAATTATATAAATAACATAATTTTTATGATTACTTAATACCTCAAATATTGTGACCCACAAAAAATATTTGAAAATTGCTTATGCAGGCTCCCTTCTATAATTTAGGTCAATATCTAAGTCAACAAGCTGTACCCTTAAAGATAAGCATACTGATTTTTTAAAAGAAATTGCATAATTATAACAATATTAGCCAAATATTTCCTGGATGGCACTTCTATTAGAATATCTTAACAGTTGTTGCTTGAGAGAAGTTCATTCTTGAATGATACTTTTATTCTCTAATGTGCTATGCCACAATATCTGTATATATTAAAACATAACAAAAAATTCATAACATTGAGATCATAATTGACAAATACCTGTCTTGTTCTGATAAATACTGACTATCCACTTCTCTGGCTCTATGATCAACTGGACTTCGGGAGGCATCATGGTGTCTGGTTGGAGAACGTGACCTTCTTATTGGATGAATTTCATCTAAACTCCTAAAATAATTACAAAATTCTTATGTGTATCATCTTCCCAAAACAGGCAGACAGACTATAGGGAAGGAACTGACAGTAACATGCAAATAAACACTGAAAAGTGTTTGCGTCATAACTAAACCTATTTTACCAATGATTTAAGAGTATTAATTTTTTATGAGCTTTTTGCCTGTGGCTGCATTTCTCCAAACTTCTTTCACACTTCTATCAAAAAACAATTTTCATCTGTGTAATTAATTACAATTTCAGGAATGAATATCAGAGTAAGATGAAGTAGAGCACTACATTATAAGCTTTATTTATGTTTCCAAGCATTTAAAGTATTTCCAAGAGACAATCCTAAATCTCTTAAAAGTCCATTCTGTCTCTTGACCTTATCCTCTTAAGATGTTTCTCTTCACAATTCTGATTTGTCACAATTTTTTTCTAACAAGGAATAAAACTAGCAAACGAGTACAAGACAAGTATTCAAAAACAATTACTGGGACATAAACAACTTCTACTTCTTGGGGAATTTCTTCAGATTAAACAATAGACTGCCACATAGGTTAGATAAATCATTTAAAAAAGCATTTTGCCTAGAAACAATTCCAAAAAAAATAATTTGACCAAACTATTTTTTCATTTCAGTTAGTTTTGCAGCAACTTACACTGCATTATAATAAAAATGTACTGTCAGGGACACTGAACTCATTCAAAAGCCTACCTCTGTAATGGCACATTTGGTAAACGTGAACGCGGCCTTCCCTGATCATTGCCGCGATGAGGAGATACTGAACGTGAGCGGTGATGAGTTGTTCTTTGCTGTTCTGGCACAGTTAATGTTGTAGATTTACCTTCTCTAGCACTAGACCTGTAGCCTACTGGCAAGAGTACATACAGAAAAAATTTAGTCAGTATTCTTCTATAATGCAAACATTAACATAGAAATATAAAATTATATTAAAGCAGCCATTGACCGATGAATAATAAATGTCATGCAATCAATATTAATAGCCTTATCTTCAAAAATATTAAGTATACCTACACAGAGTGTAACATATACATGCATTGAAGCAGGTTACAGTTTGGCTCAAAGGTACCATAAAGATACTAATATGAATATGACAGTTGATGCCTCAGACATTATGATGAGTTGGGATACTGTTTTAATTTAAATACTGAATGAGTTCCTGACTTAGTAACAGAAATGAAGCACCTGACAGAAAATTATAGTTGATATACAAGTCAATGCTTGGAAATTTGGTGTCTCTTTAAATTTAAATAAATTCTTCCTTTCAATTTTTATTCTAGAAGATACATTATTTTAGCTGGATTGCAGATGGCCTCATTAATAAGAAAACAAATATTCCAGTTTTAATTAACAAAGAAAAGTAGCAAATCTTCACCATTATACTGATTGTGAATTTTGCAAACCATAAATAATACGACAATTTTCAAATGTAGTATATGACTGAAGATGACTATCACAATAGTACAGAGAAAATGAACCCTTCCAAAGAACCAAACATCAACTCTGCCTTACACATCTGAAACTACTCTGTAATTATTTAAATTATCATAATTAAGATAATATAGTTAAAATATTGCAATTTAAAATAAATGATAACAGCCATTCTTCCTTGAAGTAAAAAGGTTTATATTGTCTCTGATTTGGTTCAGATAAAACAGTAATTTCAAAACCAAAATAATAATGTAGAGTTTAAAATTTTTTCACAAGAGTTACTGTTTTTTATTATCATAAGGAAAATAAAAAATTATGTGGCCAAAGGAAAAAAACTATATTTACAACTACATATAACATACATAAACCATAAATACATTAAATTTAACTAGGAAGCTAAAACTGTTGTTCATTTTTTACTTGATAACTCTTACATTATCTTAAAAATACGTTATAAAACATCATTACTAAAGGCAGACTAATATTCCCTAGCAGTTTATTTACTGTGAATTCATGATCTTAGGCCTAAGTTTAAAGGTCTTTAAACATTTCATTAAGTGTACTTTGACAATATTCAGACCAAAGAAATACAACCATTTTGTCACTCTGTAAGAATATAAGTTTAATAATCATAAATGGTATAATTTATAATTTCAAATACTTTAATTTTTAACATCAAAATATCAACTAAGCTATTGAGTTTCGTGTAAAAAAGTCTGTTGTTCAGGTGTAATATTATATTGTAAGTTTAAGGCTAGAAATTATAATAGGCAAGAAAGAGACCAACTAAATTAATACGTAGTGAATATACTATTAATATCACTCATTTAAAAAAAATGGTGACTGTTTTTAAAGACAGTTAACCCATAGTCTGAATTACTTAAACATTTACTATTTGGTATCAATTATACAATATTTATGGAAGGCCAATATTGACTTATGAGCTCTATTTCAAGATTTCAACAAGTATTCAAGGTACATAAATAGATTTCCTATAATTAATTATTACAGAATAAATCTTAGGGAATTTTGGCATCTTACTGTTAAAGGTGTATAATTAATTTGTTTCTTAGATTCTTTGTCTTTATATAAAAATTAATGTCTCTTTTACTCTATTAAGAAGGGACTTTAAGGAAACAAGTGCCATCTTGAAACTTTTAATATATTAATAACTTTTAATGTAACTTACAAAGTTCTGAATTTATAAAGAGAAAATATACCCAAGGCAATGCATACTATTTTGGTGACTCAAAGTCATTTTGAATATAACTTACATGCTATAATATTCAAAGTTTTAACAGTTGACTCTATAGTGAATGATCTCAAATAAATGTGCATTTAAAGTTCTTTGCGTTTTACCATAATCTGATTTTCTTCACATTATGTTTAATTTATTGTTGACAACATGCACTCTATCTTCAGAACCATGAGTGGGATAAAACTATGTTTTTTTTTTGTTTGTTTGTTTGAGATGGATTCTCGCTCTGTCACCCAGGCTGGAGTGCAATGGTGTGATGGGTTCTCCTGCCTCAGCCTCCTGAGTGGCTGAGATTACAGGTCTGAGCCACCCCACTGGGCTGGGATGAAACTATTTTATGGCAATCCCAATGTTTAATTGGCTCAGAGTTTGAGTTTAGAGATTCTTTTTTCCCGTTTTCTGATTGAAGTTGCTAGATTCCTCACCTCAGATGAGGGCATTCTATATATGGTTATTTTTATTCTTCTTAACCAGCTAAAGTTATTTACTTTAAATAACAATAAGGCTATAACCACAACATTAAAAAAATGTAGGCCTGGTGGTTGCAACAGTTGAAAACCTGCTATATTTCCCTAACTGGAAAAATATAGTAAACACATCAAACAAAAACAGATAATTTCATGTTCTAGAAAAGCCAAGATATTAGGAAATTTAGGTTTTGGCTGTGACAGAACATTTTGTATACAGCTTTTGAGCTTCTTTAGAGAATATACAACCAGGAACTTCCCTGAGTACATTAAACATATATAGAAGATGACTTCCATATCAAAACAAATTTTCTCTTCATACTGGATGCTAGAAAATGTAGAAGCAAATTTGTAACCAACATCTAAAAGTACATGTAATGCACTGTGTTAACTTAGCACCTCACTTTATTTTAGCTTCTTGCCCTTATTATACTGACTCATCTTTCCTCTTCATTTAAAATGTATTGTATATTACTCTGTTACTAGCTATATTTTCCATACAGATACTACCACATAATCACAAGGGATCAATGAAGAGATTATCTGAAAATATTAATGACTTACATGATCTTCTTTAATTTATGAAGACATCTTTGAAACAATATATTACTTCCAGGTTTTATAAGCTACTAGTCAGATTCTATTAAAAGTTTGACTCATTACATTTTAAATGTTAAATAAAAATGAACAATATTATTTGAAATGACAATTTAAAGACTGCTTCTGTATGATAATAGAGATTATGCATGTTTGCAAACACTTCAAAGGACATGGTATATTTCAGTATGGAGTATACTTAGAATTCAGTGCTCCTTGATGGTACACAAGCACTAATCCCATCTGTAGTGGATTCCATAACTCACTTTGACTTCTTACAAGTCATTATCCATGTTGCTTTCCCACAGAAAGAGGAAGAAACTCATTTGAGTGAGCATTTATTTAATTGGCTATGTATTATTCATCATTCACTGTCCTGTCTCATAACAAAAAATATGAGATTTCAGGTGAATAAAATTTAGGAACCACTCACAGAAGTAAATTCTATTTAGGTAAATTGGTAATGACAACAATTAAGACTGATTATTAGTCAAGATTCTTGTTAGAGGTGATAATTTTTCTACCAGGAATAATCTAATTCCTATTTGAATATGCCAAATGAACTTAAATATATAATCACTTTACTCTTTCAATTTCATGACAAACTAATATGCTGTTATATTTGGCATGAACCTTTTGTTGAAAATGTATGTTATTATGGCATTCTAAGAAATAAAAACAGAAAGCAAAAATAAAATTTTCTCCAGTATTATCTAAATCTCTCATCAATACATTGACATTAAAGGTTAATACGTAAGTATATAGATTTTCATAGCACTTTTATTTATTGTTTTAACAGATTTTCTACTTTCACACAGTGATTAAATATTGTATTCTCTGAATTATAGGGAACAAATGAAGCCTGATTTTCAAAAACTCTCCATAATTTTCTCCCAGTTTGAATAAAATTGTATGCAACTCTTCAAACTGAGAAGTTAGTACTGTGGAATCTATCCATTTGAGCAAAACCATTGCCCTCAATTTAAGTGCTTTCATCTGAGGAATTATGTATATGAAGCGCACATATGTGAGTACTGTCTTTAAAAACTGCCTTTAAAATTCACATTTATACATTTTAAGACTCTCCTTAATTTCTTCTTATTTGAATATTTACTTCTCCTCTCATTAGTAACTTTTTTAAAAGTGTAAAATTAGTGCCAAGAAAGTAAATCTTTACTACTTGATTTTACACACTTTTCTGACAAAAGTCAGATGAGAAACATTTAAACCATACAACACCACAAAAATTTTACTAACTTACACAATGACAAAAAGATGTTGACTTCAAATGAATAATCTTTCTAATACGATTATTTTAAAATATATACACACATTCTAGATATAATCAGTGAGGAACACATCACAAAAGCTTGCAGCCATGCCACATGCAATTTTATACCCCGCCATGCACCTTTCTCAGTATATTATTCCATGGAAGACTATATTATTTTCACAAATGGTGGAAGGAAAATCACAGAAATATAACATAAAACACACAATAATGGAATTTTTATTTAATAACCCATCTTTTCAAAATAAAATTCATATTTTCACTTATGCTCAGAGCATTGTGAAATAATAATTTGTTTTACCTAGTTAGCCATGTTTTTATTGAAGAACCTGAATAAAATAAGTGGGAATGCTAATTAGTAGAGATTTAAAACTTTCTTAAGAATTTGAAATGTAAGTCACCATGGAATAATATAATATTGATTTCTCTGTACTATAAATTTTCAGTTTCTTATCCTAAAGAAGTCTAGAAGCTGACAAAGAAAACAAGCAAAGCAGCACAGTGAAGCAGGGCCATGCTCTTCACCTACGCACCTGGAGGAACTACTCCAATACCATCATCAACCTCAAAATCTGAGATGTCACTATCACTGATTCGCTGAGATCCTGCACAACAGTAAGGCAAACAGATACCTCTGTGTCTGGTTGGTTTATGAAATGTAAAGGACATTGTCAAATTTTTTTTAAAAGTGAATTGCTTTACTACTGAAAACTTGTGAAAAATAATACAAAGTAAACACTGAGCTAATTTTTTAAAAAAATGTTTGTTTTTGAAGAATAATATTTTATCAGTATTTTCTCCTTACTACACTGAGGACATACAGAAACAAGGGGACTTTACAGAATAAAATTTTCAGATTAATCTCTTAACTAAAATATTATACTAAAAGCCTGTAGCACAGTATATATAGTACATTGTTTTCTACACAATTAAGTGACTTCCTCTACAGTTCAGAGAGGATAGGGCTGAGTGGAAAGGTTCAGAGACATTTCGTGGCTGGAGCTATATTCAGCCTATGTTATTGAAAAAAATCAAGGCCCTTTATAAAATATTTATGTTTAGCTTCCCAAATTAGTCATTATACTGCATTAAACATTAACTTTGAGGAAATAAATTACTGATCAGGAAAGCATGAACATGAAATATTTAATTATGTGAGAAAAATAATTTAGTTTCAGATTACCAAATGAAGCTTCTTTCAGTTGTTAACTTAAAAATGTAGTTATGACTCAAAAATTACTGAATAAGTACAAAAAATAAAAGCTTTTCCCAATCATTAGATGAACAGCAATAAACATACCTTCTAATGTTTTAAACAATATTTCTTACAAGAACTATTAAAATATCTATCAACTGGCTGGGCATGGTGGCTCACACCTGTAATCCCAGCACTTTGGGAGGTTGAGGTGGGTGGATCAAGAGGTCAGGAGTTCAAGACCAGGCTGGCCAACATGGTGAAACCCTGTCTCTACTAAAAATACAAAAATATATTAGCCGAGCCTGGTGGCATGCACCTGTAAGCCCCAGCTACCCTGGGGCTGAGGCAGTAGAACTGCTTAAACCCAGGAGCTGGAGGATGCAGTGAGCCAAGATTTCGCCACTGTATTTCAGCTTGGACAACAGAGCAAGACTCTGTCTCTGAAAAACAAAAACAAAAACAAAAAAACCCACAAACTATAAAGTTATTAAGACATTACATGTAGCAAACCACCAATGATGATAGAAATTTTTCCATCATTCAATAATCAGCAGCTCAATTGGCTCTGTGCAAGAATTTTAATTCAGAGGTCTTCGGCTTTCAGCTCTGGAATTACTCTGCTATGCTACCTATATTATTTTCATTGTGAAAATGTAGAAATAGTTTTGCCAAGTTTCTTCATAAAGATGAACAATTTTCCAATATTGTGATCTCTAGTAAAACATTTGAAAAAAATCTTGAATTATTAATCACAAATTAGATCATTATAGCATAATTACTATGTGGTAACTAAAAAGACCTTAACCTACTTTGCAGCTTTTTGCTAGAGCTTTCTCCATGAATATGTCGCCTTGGCATGAAAGGTGATGGCTGAGGCAGAGGTAGTGAAGACTCATCATGTGTCTGAAGTTTATACCAATGTGGTTCATCATCTAAAAGCGCTGTCTCCAATTCTATGAGGATCTGAGAGGGTAATTCTCAAATTAAAATCAAGTACCATTATCAAAATGTAATGTAATAGCAATCATAATAAATAACACAAAACTTTATTAACGATTTGACTTTAGTTTTTAAAATATACATCACCTCTCCAAGAAATTCACTTTCTTCTTCTTGTACTCTTGGTTGATCCCATACAGTTATTTCTAACATTCGTTCTCTAAAATCTCTACGATGCACATGTGAATAGACAAAAGTTTGATTCCATTTTGGTTCTAGTATTTTCTTTACTGTTTTGGTCCTCCTTTTACTCTTATCACTGAAAAATAAGTATGTTTTGTAAATGAAAAAGCAAAAGGAAGTATATGCTGCCATCTATTGTAGTTATACGTAAAACTGTCATTGGTATTTATATTATTTTAAATTTATAACTCACTGAAAGTCTATAAAATGATAATAGAATTTAATAATATTCTAACTTCAATTACAATAAAAGTAGTAGTTGTGATTATAGGGACATATACAAAGGTACATTCTAAATAATGTGTCACTATCAAAGACTAATAAACCTATAAACAAGGTAACATTTTTTTTTTAATTGGCAGATTATTTTCAACTATTTACAACGCAAGGCTTGAGGGATTTCTTTTTTCAGAGGTAATGTGCTTTTATCTCCTCAGAAAGAATTAACTATTATATATTTTTTTTAATTCCAAAAAATAAAATTCTACCTTTTCTATTAGTATAGATTTTAAGATTTTTTTTCCTAAAATTATTCACTACCTTCTATCTGGAAGAAAATACATTTTTACATAGGGATTGCGAGGACGTCCATCTACTCTAGCAGGTAGATCCATTGCTTGCAGAACATTTACAATCAGCTGGTGTCCCACTTTATCATACCACAGCTTCACCTAAGAGCAACAAAGAAAGGAATCATTATTTGTAAAAATCATGAGGCATTACAACTTTACATAATATAAAATTAAAGTTATATTTAAAGAAGGAAATTTTGAATTACAATATAATGCAATTACAGATATTATTTCTAAAAAGCACACCAATTTGAAAGCATAAACACACAGAATTTACTTTTCTCTTTGAGTATTTGAAATATAACTTACAACTGGCAGGCCTTTCTTATACTGAAGTTGATGTATATGCTGATGTATCATTTTATACATGTATCATTTTATACATAAGAGTATACACAAAAACCAATAATAATTTTTCCAAAAAATAAGAAGGAGATATAAAATCATTATTCTTGTTCTTAATGTTAAAATTAAGAGTTTGAGGATTATATGTGTCAAAATGATGATAATGTGGCTAAATGCTTTTTCTGGTATCTTAGGTAGTTAAAATTAAAAAAAAAAAGAGTTTGGATATTAGAAATAAGACATACAAGGAATTGGAAGAAATCATAATATATATTTACTGTGGGCCTATTTTATACAGGCACTGCTAAGTATTTCCTGGTATTTTGTCTCACTTATTTTTTAATTTATTTTTTGTTTTTTAGAGACATGGTCTCACTCTGTCACAGACTGGAATGCAGTGGCATGATCATAGTTCACTGCAGGCGCAAACTTCTGGGCCCAAGGAGCTGGAACTACAGGTGTGCACCACCATGTCTGGCAATTTTTGCTTTAATTTTATTTTTTGTAGAGACGAGGGACTTGCTATGTTGCCGAGGCTGGTCTTGAACTCCTCAGCCTCTTAAAGTGCTGGGATTACAGGAGTGAACCACTGCACCCAGCCTCATTTAATTTTTATAATTAACCTATTACAGGTTAATTTTCATGAGAGAAGGAAGAAAAAACAAAGGATACAATACACAAGTGATATCTTCAAACTACAAGAAGGCCAAATTATATTTCTATTAACCAAGATTTCATGACAGTAGACTAAAGAATAATGGGGAAGTAACATACTAACCTATGGTCAAACTCACAAGAATCAGAATTTTAGCAGTCAGTACAGTATCTGCACTGGCAGTGGTGATGACACTTTAACAATGTTAACTTTAAGTTTTTTCCCTTAATTTAGAAGGTACTTTTCATTTTATGTTTGAGTAAGCATATGCTGTTAATGGGCATAGGTTGGAACATATTTGAGAGTCATTATAACAAAATAAGCTAATTTAACATAGGATTAGTTTTTCATGGTAAGGAACAGATTAAGAATTCAAACCTGGATCTGTGTAAATCCATCTCTCTGATTCCCAATTAATACCTAAGATGTGGTTTTCACAGAACCAAAATGCGTTTCCTATCCTCTTTTAAAATATGTGGAGAATATGAGAGATTTATACATACACTGAAGAGAAAGATGGCAGGGCAGATAAAATAAATCCAAAGGGTATTACAAAGATATTCAATATATTAAAAATAAAAGTTAAAACCATAAAAGCTCTTGAAAATACCAATAAGCTTATATATATAAGCTGTCTCATTAAAACCAAGAGAAAAGCACAAAGGCAGACCACAGAAAACCATACATTATTAGAGGAGCAAAAGGTCATTATTTGTAGAACAATTTGAAACAAATAGTCTGAAGTCCTTAAATTATAATATCAACATCCCATTTTCCATCATAATCTACACAGATATGGCTCTTCATTATATACTTAACCATAGTTTCTCCATTCCAGGTTTCCCCAGACCACATAATAAGGCAATAGTGAGAAAATGGTCGCTTTTTCAGGGAGTTTTCAGTGGCAATAAAGAGTTTTGCCAAATGCCTTAAGAAGTTAAAAAGAATATTCCAAATTTAGGCTCCTCAGGCTCTAGGCTTATAATGTTGTTCTATAAATGGGGCATGAACTCCTAATAGTATGTGTAAACAATCATTTACCTTAGAAACTTTTACATAGCATACCAAAAATATAGATTCTTTATATTTACTTATATTACCATTCATCAATTAATGTTCAGAGTATCTGGCATACTGCAAGCACTCAGTAAGTATTTCCGACTAAATATGTGAATAAAGGAATAATAAAAAATGCATGAAAAACTAATGAAGTAGATTTACAGTCTTAAATGGCCACGTATTTATTGCAGACTTCAGGGAAAGGCAGACATATTTAAAGACAGACAGTGTGTGGAAATACTAACAGTCTCCAACATGTACAAAAAATACATACAGAAAGTTGCCCTGGTAAGACTTGTGGGGCATCTTTTAGAGCTCCAGGACTTGTAGGAGAAATAACAGAAATGGAAGGCCTTTCCATCTTCTGAGATTCAAAGGAGCTTGAACCTAAAATAAGAAAAAAAAGTAAATTATATTTGTAAGTGTAGGAAATATTCTGAATAAAATGCTAAATGCATCTGTTATTTGCATAAAACCATAATTACTACCATTGATAACAGAACCTACTTTTAATGGGATAAATTTTGCCTTTAATTAAAAAAATATTTAAAATGATATAACAAAACATTGTGCTTATTTCAATTGGAAAGAAATGATCTACATTTCTGGAGCGCATTGTATTGCACAGGCTCTTGTATAACTTCACGTATGGGTAAAGGTCTGCTTCAGAGATAAGGAAGATAGTGTCTGTTAATACTAATTATCTTGGCTAATGGATCATCCATTATAAGCTGTCCTTACTGGAAATTAAAATAAATGTATACATAATATAATTTACAAGTCACACTTAAACTTAGATTTCATCATTGTTTTAAAACCAGATATACCATCTTAGTTTTGTTCTTACAAATGAGTATCTTAAACCTCTGAAAACGCTGCTTCAAGTAATTCACAACTAGTGATTTGCTTCAACTTCACATAGAGCAGGCTGGCTCTCCTCTCGGCCACTTGGTGGAGTTCTTCACTGTATACCCTGACACATAGAGCAACATAGAGTGTTTATAGAATGCTATTGATCCAGCAAGTATAACCTTGAACTCAACCCCATTCAAACTTACCGAGGGCTTCACTGATAAATACTATTTATGAAGCACTGCCTGAGTATGTGCAATCCACACATTTTTTTCTATACCTACAAATTAATTATCATGTCACCATTTTGTGCCCTCCAAAAACTTTTAGTGATAAAAATCAGCTTTAGAGACTCCATGTTTAGGTACCCTTCCACGAACACTCCCTTCGTGGAAGCCATCTTCCTCTCTCCTGGATTTCCCCTCTGGGGTCCCCTTCCACACTCTCTCATGGAAGCCTGTTTTCCCTTCCGAAACTCCATCTTTCTCTCTATTCCCTTCTACTCAGTGTGGAAGCTGCTCTTCTCTCCTGGATTCCATCTTTCTGGATTCTCTCACTCAGTGTGAGACTTAGCTGTTTCTCTCTCCTTCTCCTTTCTCTCTCTAAATAAATCACTTTCTATAAAAAGAAAAAAAAAATCAGCTCTATAAAATTGTTGCTATGTGTCTTTTCCCAGGTATATTTAGAATACATTTTCCTTGGGTCTCAGAACAGGAACTCTGTTATTTCTAATAATGCTTTTTTGTAATATGGCAATCATTGTATTTTAAATCATATAAATAATATAAATTACGCAGTTAGTCCCACTTCCCTCTTTGTATTGGTCACCAGAAAGCTCAAAGCCAAATCTGGGTCCACCTCTAACAGAATATGATGGTATGCATTTTATACGATAACCTAGTATCTGTTTCCTTGTTTATCCTACTTTCATATTTTCTTCTTCCTTCGAATCACTATCACTGGTTTCCCCCAAATCACCTTTTATTTTCTATTTCTATAACCTGGGTTCTGGGGAATCAAACCCAAATATTAACTTAATTCCCATCCATTGCAAAGTAAATACTTGGGTCGCTTCTGCATAATCATTGAAAACGTATTTGTCTATATTTTATTTATTTTATTTATCATCTTCTCTCATACAGAAATGACTTTAATTCCCATACAGATAATTCTTTCAACCCTCTGGTTTCACAATCCATTATGAGTTATGTTTAGTGGAGCTTACTCCACCCATTCACTTCTAAAATCAATCCACGCACTTTGTTATTCACTAACACAATTATTTGTTAAAGTGCCTAGTTCATTCAAGAGGCTGCTCTTAAGATTGAGCTGCTTATCAATCAAACTGAATAATCCAGTATCACAATAAATGTTTATGTGAATATAACTATTCCTGGTGTATTAACTAAGCTCTGTAAGATTTTTTTATAACCACCTAAAAAAGCAGAAGAAGAAAAATCTTAAAGTAGAATTTCTTTGGATTGCCAGTTATTGCCATCATTGCTAACATCTAGTACCAATGGAGGCGTTTTTAGTATAGTAACCCCAATTCATTATATCAAATAACTAAAGAAAGAGAGAAACTTTTACTTTCAATTGGTTCAATACTTTGATAATATCAGAGAAATCTTATACTCACTGGACTCCAGCGGAGGGTGGGAGCTCTCAGGAATCCGGGGAATGTCACTAAAAGAAACAGGGTATGGTGAAAATCCCATTAGCTAAATGACCCTGCCTGAGGCAACCACAGCCCATTTTATATGATGTGAAAAATCCTGCTGGGTCTTTAAAGGTGTGGAAATGAACAGAAGTTACTATTAAGGCAACTACTAATGTGCATGAATGTCAAATACCACACACACACAAAAACTGTAATAAAAATAAGTTTTTATATATTTAAGAGAAAAACACTTTAACATGACAATCAGACTAATATTGTGGTTAAAATCACCACAATATTTTTACTACCAAAACAGCAGGTTTTGGAAATAAAAAAATGTTAAAGGTAATATTTTCCTTCAATTCTAAGAAATCAAAATGACACAAATTTTACAAATCAGTAATATGCTTTACAAACACATCTGAAAGAGTTTACTGAGTGAAAGGGATGGGAATATCTCAATAATAAAATGATATGGTGAATATCATGGGCAAAGTTAAATGAAAAGGATGAGTTGCTTTGGAAAGTAAAAATGGTTCAAGCTTGCAACAAAAAAGCCAAATTATTTTATATATGTGAATATACAATACATATACACATATATACTCTTTTTAGAGATTCGTATCTCTATACCGAAGTTAGCTAAATATATGGCTATTCACTACATGGTTAGAAAGTGACTTGTGAGACCACCCATTTCTGACACACTGACAAATTACTCTAAAGAAATATATGTATTATAATCTCAACTTAATCCATTACCCACTATGACCTTAAGAACCCTAGATCACCTTGGTTTAGGTATTGAACTGTATAGGACTACTTTACTTCTCATTTTCCAAAGATGTTTTAATATCAATTTAAGGAGATTAACAATATGGCAGCATTAACATGACATATTAAAGCAGACTGGAGTTAGCTAGTCGCAACAAAATTATCAGCTTATGTTTTAAGAATTTCTAACCACTTACCTTACGACCTAACTTTCTTTTCACTTTGGGGGGAATGAAAACAAAAAGACTTTTCCCTGTTTGACTGTTCTTCAGAGCTCTTGACTATTTTGTGAAAAGTAATTCTCATAAACACATAATTTATACTTCTTATAAATGACAATCCAGCCTATGCTGTGCATTTTATAAAATAAATTTTATTATATATTTTTGTATGTCTATACATTTACATAAAATAAATCATTTGGATGAATTTATAATTAAGAAACTAATTTACAATACCTAAAACACACAAAATACTATATATTTTGCTCCTTTCTTTTAAATTAATCCAAGCAAATAAAAGTAAACTATAAAAAATCCAGAACAATCAATTTTTAGATAGTATGACTTCTTTAAAAATCAGCCTCATAGTCCATTATGAAATCAGAATTTGAAACTCTAAAACCAGGTACAAACTTTGGAATTTATGTGCCTTTAAAAAAAAAATAGTGGGAAAGTTGTTGAAAAAATGTTTAAGTGACTTATAATTAAAATTTATTGATGTTAATTGCTTCACTCATATTTTCAGGCATAAATTTCCATTGGATGTTTAAACAAGCCTTCTTAGTTAGTTCTACTTACCAGTTAGGTAGTAGTTTTAATAACAATTATAAGCATAAAGGTCAAGGATATTGTATTTGGTGGATTCACAAAAACAGTCAATACCTCAAGATGGCTGATCTCTCTTAGTGTGAATCGATCAATGTGCTTGTAAGTTCTATTTAGAATGATTCCTGAAATAATTGTGTCACTAAGTTATGAATATTTTCTTTTTCCTTTAATTGTAGTTGCTAAACAGAACTACATTAAATATTATTATTAAAACATAGCTCTCCAGCCTGGGTGACAAAGGAAGACCCTGTCTTAAAAAAATGTAGCTAAAATTATTTTTCTAAGATTCTAATAATGTAGTCACTAGAAAGTTGATATCAGCTTTGATTCTGATTCAATTATAATCTTTGTATTCCACGTCCTTTGAATTCTATAATCTATAATTTTGGTATTCCATGTTCTTTTTAATTTTATAATCTATAATAGTTGAGGGTTTGGCTGTGCAGACGATTACTTCTTCAGTAATTTTCATATAAAAGTAAAAATAATGTTATTCCAGTCTACTTTAATTGTCTGTTACTTTTTTAAGTCACCACGTATCAATTCTGTTTTAGCTGATTACTTTTAAACCACTATATATTTGAAAGTATTTGGCAAGTGCACAATGCTTGATTCTAAACTTTATCTTTCACACTTCTGATTCATTTTCCAATTTACTTACCTCTTTTCCAGCCTCATATTTACCTCAGCACTAGAACATATGTCATGTAAAACTAGCATAAATTGTAATATTGTTATTTTAAAAATCTATATGGAAATGTACAACACTTTTAGAAAGGTCTTAGTGTTCACTCCTAATAATCACCACTTAAAATTGGTTAAAAGCTTGCCTTTATTTTAGAGTTTTATATATTAATATTATTTGATAGATGATCATACAGATAGATGATCATACATTTTCATTCTTTGAGAATTATGATAATTACATCTTCTTGTATGTTTTGCATTGACATATATTCATGAGGCCAATACAAATTAAAGGTTAGCACTTTTTCAACATAAAAATCCTGGAAGTAATGGCTCTATTATATCTTGGAGAATAGGGAAAAAAAGAATCATTTCCAAGAATACATTCAAACATGAAGCCAAGTATAGTGAAAAAATTCAAAATACCTTTAAAAAATTATACACTGGCAAAATGAGTATTATTTTGGACCACGTGGGTTTGCCAGAAAAAGCTAACAATATGGGTAAGTCTACATACATATATAGAAAATATCCCACTGGCTATAGATAATTAAATTGTGCTGAAAATTGAGGTTTTAAAACTATAAATTATGACCAATTAAAATATTAAAATATTTAATATTTCTTGCTTGATTTTAAATAAAAGTTGAAACTACTCATGGGTAAAGATTCAGAAAAAATATTCTTAGCAGAATAATAAAAAGATAATGTAGACACATGAAATCATTAATATTTTAAATATCACAAGGAGTTTGTTAGTGCTTCCTTAAAGGAAATACTACTTATTAAATTTGAATTACTTAAATATATCTGCCATTAAAATAGTATATTTTACTTTATATTTCACTTGCAAAAAGTACATACTGATATTTTTTGATATTACAATTGTTAACGTGTGAAACTTCTAAAATGTAGTGAAGTAAGTTCAGTATTGTTAAAAAACTAAGAAATTTTTAAAAATCTAAAAATATATGCCCATAATTGATGAAAAAACTATCCATTTTAACATGTACTGTATGAATGTATAAAATCTTTTTAAAACCCTACCAATACATGTAATTTACTAAACTTAAGAAGTAAGTTTTTTTAGCCTTACCCAATAGGCCTTGAAACAATAATTTCAACTTGAGGTTCTGATTTTGATTCTAAAATAATGTTGTAAACTTCTTCATTTGTAGCTCCCGGCAGGGGTTTACCATTCCATTCTAGAACTTCATCCCCTTGAATTTAAAAAAAAGGGTATTTTTTTACCTTATATATTCTGTTTATTTTTCTTATCTTTTTTCTTTTTTAACAAAGAAATGCAAAACATATACAAATAGTTTAATTGTCTAGGCTCTGCTTTCAAAAGCAAATTGATTGCCATATAATGTCTGCTAATTGGTTCTGCTAAACACTTTTTCTTTCCTTTGTTTTTCTTTTTTTCCCCCAGAATATTACTGGTGACTGGAAACAGTACAATACAAAACTATCTTTATCTTTTGAGATATACCAGAAATAATATAAAAATAATCTCATGCTATGGGATGGAATTAGCACAGCCTATTTGAAAACATTAAAAAATAATAATTAGCAGCATGCCCTCTATATAATAAATGTAGGCGGTTCTTTTTGTGACAGGTTCTTATTAAACTGTACATAAATCCTGTTTTATTTTTGGAAGAAAGAACAATTAATATTTGTTAGCATGAATTTCCCAATTATAAGTCATGCTTCATTGTCTTCACCAGATGTACAACAGAATAAAAATGCATGAAAGGATTTGAATTCACACCCATTAGTTAACGCAGGTAGCTATGGCAAAATTACAAAGCAAGCAGATGTAAAACTGTTGCATGACAGTTAACCCACTTCCAGATGTTCAAAACACATATGTACTATATATAATCTATATTGTGAACATTAAAGTACAAGTAGAAAACATTTTAAAATAACAAAACATTAATACAGTATATAGTAGTTTGTTCTAAGATTAATCAAGGGAAGTTATAAGATGTTGCATTAAAAAAAATAACAGCCTAACAACTTATAGTTGTTATTTTAACTAGGGTTTTTGCACCATAGGTCACGTGAAAAAATTATTTTCATAAATATTTAAGAAGTTGTAGGTGCCAAATGGTTCTCTGCCTTAGACCCTTCAATTCAAAATGGTAGTCTCAGCTGAAATATCCCAACCTCAATGATGCACTGAGGTGTCTTAATTTGTTGACGCTCATGCTTATTTTGTTTTTTTGTTGTTCTCAGTGTCTAGAACATTTTAGGAGGAAAGTAAGTTTGTGCTAAAATACTGGATCAGTATCATCAGTATATATTTTAAAGCCAGGTATAAGCATAAAATCGTTTCAATGTTTAGCTGTAATTTTTTAAAAATAAAAGTAGGAAAAATCGCTTTGCTAGTATTACTTTAAAGTAATGATTTTCCCCAGTTGTTTGCTCACTGAAGAGTAAAAAGTAAATATGCGAAAAGTACATGATGCTGCTTTGGTTTGGTAAAATACTATGGTAATCTGGTAATGACCAATTCTTTTTTTTTTTTTTTTTTTTGGAGATAGAGTTTCGCTCTTGTTGCCCAGGCTGGAGTGCAGTGGCGCAATCTTGGCTCACTGCAACCTCCACCTCTTGGGTTCAAGCGATTCTACTGCCTCCACTTCCTGAGTAGCTGGAATTACAGGCACTGCCACCACGCCTGGCTAATTTTTTGTGTTTTTAGTAGAGACGGGGTTTCAACATGTTGGTCAGGCTGGTCTCGAACTCCTCAACTCAGGTGATCCACCTGCCACAGTCTCCCAAAGTGCTGAGATTACAGGCATGAGACATCGTGCCTGTCCACCAATTCTTAAATGACTTCTAATACACTGTCCTAAGCAGTTACCTAGAAAAGCTTTTCAAATAGGCAATGAATATACTTCACTGTAAAAAAAAGAAAAATAATATTTACCAATTTACTATATATTGAGTGTTTTCAAAATTTTTTGACCAAGAAAAAAACAAAGTTTACATCACGGTTCTGTATACATATAATATGAATATGTATATATGTATGTGTGTGTGTGTATATATATATACACACATATATACTAAAAATATTTTATAAAACAATACTTACCCTGAGTTTTCTATTCTATTGTGTTCTACCTCAATTTTTTTAAATGGTAGATGCAAACCATTAAATTGATTTTACTACCCAATAGTGAGTTGCAACCAGAAGTTTGCAAAAGCACTGCATTATAAAACTCTCCTCTTTATAAGCAGCAACCTCGAAGCATAACTTTTAGTATCAAATTAACTTAATACATATGCTTATTCATTTACAGATTAATAATTCCTAAACCAGGATGGATTTTAAAAAATTATTTATTTATGTATGGATAATCTCTTCTAGCAGGGATGTAGACAATGAGAGTACAAAGATGAAAATGACATTTTCTCTGGCTTTAAATTTGGTCATGAAGAAATGACACAGAAACAAATAACTTTAACAATATATTTTATATGCAGTGATAGAAGTTCATTTGAGGACCAGAAATAGAGTCAAGCAGTACCAGGGGATGTAGTAATTAGTTATTGCTCCAAGTCAGGTATTAGGAATTACTTTAGAATTAAGGCAACGTCAGATGAACTGTGAAGGATGGAAAGGCCTTCAACAGGAGGAGCAGAAAACTAAGTAGACAAGAAGCATTGATCACGTCTTCTGGGTGGGAAACACCCTGACAGGAACCTACAAGTGGCCCAACATCCTGGGCAGCTGAAAGTGTTAGCAGAGGACAAGGATACAGAGCATTGACTTGAACAAATGATAACTAGGAAACACTGAAGGATCTTAATAATGAGTGTCAGTGTCATTTTTGTGTTTTAGATAGTTACATCAAGTAGCAGTACAGTGCACAGACTTGAAGGGGAACAGGACTGGATAAAGATATTACAAGATTAAAGCAAGATTGCAAATGTTGAATGAAAGACACTTGGATTTTTAAAAATTGCACTGTAGTTTTATAGAGTAAGGACATTTATATGCACCATATAAACAAAGATATGCACATATTTAGTCAGTTCCTAAGTTATATGTAAATGAAATAGGATATAAGATTGAATCTGCAAAATTACTTTCTTCAAATACATAAATCGCTCAGAGTTTGAAAAGTACATCTGTCTGTTTTATAGTATTTAAGTTGAGATTTTAACATTTCAGATTTAAGTTTCTCAGGCTCTTGGCTCCTGAGGGTGTTAAATAAATGAATCACTAACAGATATTTTGTATAGAACACCCTCCTTCTTTTCCTTCCTAACTTTCTATTAAAACATAATAATGTGTTTATAATGTGTATATAATGTTTATAATGTGGTCTGCAAACTCAGGCTTCTGTAAAGTTATCTTACATTAGCCAACAAGGGATTCTCAGACTTTCTCAGGCTTATTTTTGAGTTATTAGACAAACACACTCTCAGTTTATTGACATAGTCACCCCTGATTATTTTCCTACTGAATCATAACTGGTCCTTCATAAGAAATAACAGTGTAACATATCTCTACACATATTCAGTTGTATAGCAGGTGGAGAAAAATCTCTGATTAGAGTTTTCTTCCTATATAACACCTGCACAGCAAGTACTTGTAAAAAAAAAAAAAAAAAAAAAAACCTAAAAGGATTTTGAACTGATATCCTGGTAAATAAATACACTGAAAAGTCTTTAAGAGTCCTAGAATATTTCTCCAAAGTTTTCAAGAATTACAATCTTAAGGTTTAAAAGTTAAGAGTATCACCTGAAAATGTATTCTTTCTTTGTGTAATGGGTTATTAATTTTTAATTCTATAGCTTAGCCAACTCTGTTTTCTTTACAGTTGTTTGGCAAATGCATAAACAATCATCTAATCAAAAGATTTCTACTAAACTGCGCAGTAAAGTCAAATATTTTAATGGGATTTTAACAAAAATAAAAATTAAACAATTTACCAAAAATAGCTTTTAAAATATGTCACTATTTAATATAGGGTACGTTTACATATGTTAAGTAATTTCATTGTGTCATGTTCAGGTTATAGGCAACAAAAATAAATTTCTAAATACCAACAGGTAGCATATCTGCATGAGTACAATATATGTCACTTTAAAATTAACTAATATTTTATTATAATCCATATAAGAAATGTGATTATGATTTATAAAATACACTGCTCCTGAATAAGTGTTTGACGACCACTCAGAAAAATTTTGGTAATTATTACAGCTTAAAATATAAACTAAATAATTAAGTGTGATATGAAAAATTTTTCACAAAAATAATTATTTTAGATTTCAAGTCATGTAACAATATTATGAAGCCATCTACAGAAATGAGTAACTCTTCTATATTTTACATCTATTTATTTTTATATAAATAAAGAAGATTTCTACCCTTACTCTCCAGATTGCTGCTGATGTATAGTTACTTATTATTGCAACTGGTAAAAATGGTTATCAGGGAAAAAATCTCTATTCATGCATTAAAATTTAGTGACTTATCTGATATATATCTATATATACATACATACACACTTATAAATATATGTGCATGTATGTATAAAACTAGCCCCAAATTGAAAACCACCAATTCACGCTCATGCATGGAGAACACACTTTAAATGTTAAAAAAAGAAACTTTACCTGCTCTTAGGTGTCCAACTACATCTGCTAGGCTACCCTTCTTTACTTTGGTGATGAAAGCACCAAGTCGTCCTAAGTCAGTCATTTTTCCTCCAACAACCTGGATAATTAGAAATTTATAAATTTTCAAGATTCATACTAAAACATAAAACGTTATTAGTTTGAGGAATTTATATTATTTTTTGATGTACTTGAAATTGCATATAGAAACATTAATGAAGTGAAACACATTTTTTTTTTTTGAGATGGGATCTTACTTTGTCACCCAGGCTGCAGTGCAGTGGTGTGATCATGGCTCACTGCAGCCTCGACCTTCCAGGTTCTAGTGATCCTTCAACTTCAGCCTACCAAGTAGCCTAGACCACAGGCATACATGACCATGCCCATTTAATTTTTAAAATTATTTGTAGAGACAAGGTCTTGCTATTGTTGACCAGGCTGATCTCGAACTCCTGGGCTCAAGCAGTCCTCCTGCCTTGGCCTCCCAAAGTGTTGGGATTACGGGTGTCAGCCACAAGCACTTGGCCTACATTTTTTATTAAAGTTGCTGGGAGAACAATTTTGAAAAGAAAACATCTCATATTTGAGATGACTATGTGTCCTAAGGAAGTTTATGTACTGATTTCTTTCTTTCATTTTAGGTGCTGATTTCTTTCTATTTTTTAAAAATTTTTCTGAGACAAGACCTTACTCTGCCACCCACAGTGGAGTGCACTGACATGATAATGGATGACTACAGCCTTGAACTCCCAGGCTCCTGTGATGCTTCTGCCTCAGGCTCTCAAGTAGCTGGGAGAAGGTTTGGACTATTATAATTTTATAATCTCTCCCATCATCCTGACTGAACTCCCACAGCTGGGACTACAGATGTGTGCAGACACTACAGTCAGCTAATTTTTTAATTTTAATTTTGTAGAGAAGGAGTCTTGCTATGTTGATCAGGCTGGTCCCAAACTCCTGGACTCAAGTGATCCTCTCACCTTTGCCTCCCAAAGTATTGAGATTAAAGGCATGAGCCAGTGCACCAGGCTATAATGACTTCTTAAAAGCAAGCTTGAACAACCTGCAGTCAGTGGGCCACAAGTGGCCCAGGATGGCTTTGAATTCGGCCCATCACAAATTTGTAAACTTCCTCAAAACATTATGAGGTTTTTTGTTTTGTTTTTTGTTTTTCTGATTAGCTTATTAGCTATTGTTAGTGTTGATGTACTTTATGTGTGGCCCAAGACAATTTTTCTTCTTCCAGTGTTGCTCAGGGAAACCAAAAGATTAAACAGCCCTGTGTTGAAGTGACTTAACAATAAAAGGGCACCATAAATAATGCATATACTTAGAAGACAGGTGCCAGGTCTTTCCTACTTAGTCTCAAACAGCAAGTGTTTGACACTGTGTACATTAAGTTTCATTTTTCTTTATCATCCAAATTCATGTGTACCATTTGAACTATTTCTACATGAAGATAATATTCCATTGTCAACATCAGATCTTGACCTCTTTTGTGTATCTGTAGTCTTTATAGGTCTATGGCCATAAAGACTATAGATCTGAGCCAAGAAAATGGCACTTTTGGTAAGCAATTTACTGTTGTGCAAAGCTTAATAGCCTAAATGCGTCTCTGCAACTGACCATTTCATCTGAAATATGTATCTCTGCCCATAAGACTATCAAAGTCTGAGTATTACAGAATATTTAAAAATCTATGTTTAATTTCTTCCAATGAAGAGACTCAAATATACATAATTTAAAATGAAGAGAATATCATCAAAAAGTTGAGATTCACCACAATTCTTAGTGGCATACTGATTAGTGGAGGTGATCAGCATTATTTCACAGCAGGAGTGATTAACGGTAATAATCAGTAAGCACTACTAAGTACATTAACTAAAAAAATTTCTTATAAAACTATTGTAATAAGAAAGTGATCCCTTTAATGATGTTTATGCTTCTGCTCAAGATACAATAAAAGTCCACATTATCTATGCTACTTTCCATTTAAATCTTTTTAATGCAAAAAATCATCCTGAACTTTATATTCAGAAAAAAATACATTAGTTTCCCTAAATTTTATTTAATTTTCCTAACACATCTATATGCTATGTTAATAAAATTATATAAAATATTAAAATGACATTTAAAAATCATTGCCAGAAACTTTGATGAATGCAGGCCACACTGTAATTCACCCTTCAAGAAAGATTTTAAGCCAGCATACTTACTTTCAAACCCAACAATGCACCTGATTCTTTGGGCATGGTTGTTCTCTTGTTAAGAATAACACGTCCAATTAATCGGTCCCCCTCTTTAGATGGTTGCCACGTTACAGGATGCTGTTAAAACAGGAATGAAGTTTAAAAAGTAATATATACAGAATGAGATGCATTCAGTTATAAAAAGAATGAAGTCCTGCCATTAGAGGCAACATGGACGGAGCTGCAGAACATTATGTTAAGTAAAACATGCCAGGAACAGAAAGTTAAACATTGCATTTTCTCACTCACATGTGGAAGCTAAAAAAATGTTGATCTCATAGTAGTAAAAAGTAAAATAGAGGGTAACAGAGGCTGGGAAGGTAGGGCAAAGGGAAGGACAGGGAGAGATTTGTTAAAGAATATACAATTACAGCTATATAGGAGGAATAATTTCTGGTGTTCTATAGCACTATAGGATGACTATAGTTAATAATACATAGTTTCCAAAAGCTAGAACAAGGATACTGAATGTTCCCAATACAAAAAATGATAAATATTTGAGATGATGGACATGCAAATTATGCTGATCTGATCACTATACATTACACGTACTGAAACATCACCATGTACTGCATAAATATGTACAATTATTATGTATCAATTAAAAATAATATAAAAAAGAAAATAGGAGCCAACTGAATAACTTAGAAATCATTATTGAAAAATATTTATAATGTCAACCTAAAAATACTTTAAAACACTAAGAAATTGACAAATAAACTGGACATATCCAGACAATAATATTATTCAGTGGTTAAAAAAAAACCCAATGCATTATCAAGCCACAAAAAGGGAAGAACTTTAAATGCATACTTCTAAGTGAAAGAAGCAAATCTGAACAGGCTATAATTCTAGCCACATAACATTCTGGAAAAGGAAAACTTATAGAGACAGTAAAAATATCAGTGGCTGTCAGGGACTCAGTGGGGAAGAAAGGAGGGAGGGATGAATACGTGGTGCCAGGGATTTTTAGAGCAGTGAAACTATTCTGTATGATTGGACACATGACATTATACATGTGTCAAAACACCAGAATGTGTAACACAAAGAATGAACCCTAATGTACACTATCAATTTTAGTCAATAATAATACATCAATATTGGCTCATCAGTCGTAATAAATGGACCACACTAATGCAAGATGTTAATAACAAGAGAAACAGGCAGAGGAAGGGGTGGAGTGAGGAAGTATGTGGGAATTCTGTACTTTCCACTCAATTTTTCTGTAAACTTAAAACTGCTCGAAAAAGGCCTATTAAATTTTTCAAAAGTAAACAACTTGCTTTCTTTCTAACAGCCACAAATTATTGATTATGGCATGATGCAATTTCTTCAGTTAAAAGACACTGTAGGGGAAATCATTTCAGTAGACTTCATCTTTGGCTTACATGAATTTTCATTTAAAAGTATATTTCATTTGTAGCAAAATTTATACTAAAAGTTTCTAAATGCAGTTAGCAAATAAATATACATGTTTAAATGGTTCTAAATGGAATTGACTGAAATCTAAAAATGTACCTGCTTATATAAAGAAAACTGATTCTGAGTGTTAAATTGTTAATGTCAATATCCATAACCAAACATCTCGATCTTAGTCATTATCTAATAATTGTTTTTAATCCATTTAACATTTGTTATAATTATTCAGTAATAACTGCTTTTTTTCTTCAAAATTATATTATCTTAAATGAAATCAATATTTGCCCTTACCAAATGAATAATAGAGCAGAACAAGATTACTATCTATCATGTATCAGACAAAGGACAATGAACAGCACACATATTCCCTAAACTCCAAATACACTTCCCAGAAAACTTACCGAACTAATAGGTGATGTCTCCCGGCTGTGCCACGTGGCAGGATCCAACCAGTAATAATCCAAATCACCTGTGCAATAGAAAAATAATAAAAAGTGTAATGGTGTTAAAGAGAAGAGTGTATCACTTTAAGCTTTACTTCTTTAATTTATGAAGGGTTATATATATCACAAATTTGAGTGTGTATATTGCAGAATGACGTACACCTATGTTGCAAAGGTTGTGACTTGAATCACTGGAATGAATGTATGCTACAAATACACTTCCGACAATGAATGACTGCCTTTTTCTCTCATAAATCAGTCAGAAAACACATATAAACATACAGAAAAAAAAAAAACCACAGGGTTATTCTGCTCCTCTTATCCTTAAAGGACTGTCTGTATTCAGCCATAGCTTGCTATCTACTGATGCTGGCTAAAATTTTATTCAATGAAATCAGGTAGACACTAATATAGTGTCTCCCTTTATACTTTCTGAACTGTATCATATCTTTCAAAATTATTATCTGATCTTTATCTTCCCTCATCAACCAAAACATATAACATACATTTTTTAGAACATAGTGATGAGTAAATAAATATCAAAAATAACTTTTTCCAAAAGACTGGCTACAAATGACAGAGAACTCAAAAGTTCTAACTTTGTAAATATATATTTATGAACCTTTGTTTTCGATCTTTTGGCTCAATATAATGCCAAAGAAAGCATTTGAGAAAAACTGAAAAATTTTAAGGGAAAGTATCAGTGCTTTCAGTATTCATATAGGATGAAAAGCTGGAGAAAAAGTGGGTAACATACATGAGAAGAGATATTAGGGAAAGCAGGGGAATAATTCCCTTTTATATTTTAAACATACGATTAACTCAATAAAATTCTTCTCTACATAGATCTTGAAATAGTAAAACATAAAGTGAGTAAAGCTTGCTAGCTAATAATGAGCTATCTGACTGTTGGCAAAATATGCTTGGTTGATGCCTGTAAAGATTGTAAGTAAAGAATTGCATATAGATGATAGACATTGCAGATACAGGCACTATAAACAAAATGCCACATTAAATAATTTTTAATAATGTTTAAAATGTTCAGGCATAAAAATCCATACACTTCAATTACTTAGAAACTGCTTCCTTTTCCTTGTATATACCTTACAAGGGTTGAGGGTAAATGTTATTTATACAGGTACTACAATAAATATTCTTCAAATATTCACATAGATTACAGTAGTATATTCTATGCAGGGGTTAATATTAGAAATTGCATTAGCAAAAACTACATTCTGTTAAAACTTACTTCATATAGATTCCATATCTCTGTCCAAATCATATACTTTAAAAATGTGTACATGGATTGATGCCAAAAATGATAGATCTGTAAACTTCTACTGGGCTACCTCAGTTAATGGAATATTAGGAAGTGAGAAAAGAACATTTTTTCTTTTCTCTTTTCTTTATATTTATTGTTTGTAAAAGTTCATATGACCATTCTCAAAGTAGCTTTCTCTTTAGTATTATAACACTGTTTGTTCTGAAAGAAAAGCTATGTTAATAAAGCTGAAATTACTACTAACACAAATGTTGCAATTTGTAAAACAATATCCTCAAATTTCATATACTTAGTAAAGAGGCCTAATGATTTCCTGAAAGCTCATTCATTTTGAAATTTTGTGATAAATCAATAGAACCACAGATATATTTGCAGAGAAAGAGAATTTTATTTTCCCCAAAAAGAAAAACTGATCATTACATTGATAGCTACTTTAAGAAGTCTTTAAAGTTAAAAAAAAAAAAAAAGACAAAAATTCACCCTACTTTAAACACTTAAAGAAAACAAAAGTTCATTGTATCCCTCAATAACTTGACTTAGGTCCTAAAAACTACTCCTCGGTATTATTCTCAGGCTCATACCCCAATTTCTCATAAGGTCGTTCAACCCCATGTTTCACTAATATTATCATATCTATTAATATTATATTATAAATCTAATATGAATGAAACATGGAGTTGAACTGCCATATGACACATATATATATATATATATGGTGAATATTCAATCTGCAAAAACTGTTCCTTATAGGCAAGGAACCAAAAGCTGCTGTTTTAGGGTAAGATTCAATGGTGATAGTCAACACACTTTATTATGAAAACAGTGCTATCAAGCAGTGTTACTCTTTGATATATAAGCTTTGTAGAATAATGATGTTGAATGGAGAATCTAATTTAATTGGTTGGTACTGGATGAATATAGTTTGCTAGATGATTCCAATGTGCAGCCAGTACTCTTATAGTATCCTGTAATAAAATGGAGGCTACAGATATTGCAGGTTAAACAAATAGTGTTTTTTCCTACTTTGGTCATACACAGTTTTGTAGCTACCTCCTAAGTATTGCTAACAAATGTAAATGTAAAAAACACATTCATTATTTTAACATACAACATTTGTTTATTTTAGTATACAATTATACTTCCTTCATATTCTGAATGGTTTCTAATAGTTTTCTTACCACTAATTTCATCATCAACCATTAAAATATAAGTTTTACTTAAAGACTCAGAAAAAATAAAATCTAAAATCTAAATATGTAGTTGTAAACTGTATTTGTTTCTTCTATCCCTGTAATTACTAAGTTTGAAAGATATTACTGAACTTTTAAGCAGTCTTGTCTTTATAACTCATATTTCACTATTATTAATGGAATAAGCAACACTCAACAAAACACGCTCCTAAAATATCCAGAATGCAGTACTTCATTAATACAAAATACTTTCCTTGATTATTTTTGTAATAATTGATTAAAGATATTGACTGCCAGATGGCATAGCTACAAAATGATAAATTCATGGTATTTGCTTGTGAAATCAGTACAAAACCACATTGGTTCTAACAGTCAATAAAACTTCCAAGGAACTAATTCACTCCTACCATTAATTTAGAATCAGGAAATATGTTAGCTGCTTGTGTCTACAGAAATATCTCAAGTTCATTACTAGCCAAGTTCAATCAAGTGTTATAATTTTGAGCATTATTTTTTGTGAAGAATTTTAAAATTAACTTTTATACTATCCCTTGTGAAAAAGTAGATTTTTAAACTTAATAAACATGCAATTATCAATGCAGAAATAAAAGTCAGCTAAATTACACATGAGTTTTCTGTAAAGAATACTAGTACTTTCCAAACCCAAGTCATTATAATTACAGTATGTTAGAAAGCATAAACATGTATTTCTATCTCTATAATTTAAAATTGTGTATCTTATGATGTCTAGTGTTAAAGCACAATGGATTTCAATATGATCAACCAATGACAATTAAACAAAAATCCCTTCTAAATAATACAGATGCATGATTGAGCATGTGTATGTTAAAAATATAAGAAAACCGTTCCTCTAATTTCATATATTAAATATCTATTTCACAATTTACCTGACATCTCTACTTGCCCAGGTGGAATGTGTACCTAATGTTTAAGTAGTAAAGGAAAGCTTATCTACCCCAAAGACTTGAAGTGTTACAAAATCTGAACTTCTTGACTATCTCTAGAAGTAATGTGCAGCATATTTCTAATACCATTATATGAATAATGAAAAAAGACGGAATTCAAATCAATTCTAAGATTGGCTCACAGCAACTCACAGCAATGTAATAACAATTCCAAACACATACATGCATTTTCACCTTAAAAAAGATTGTTCTTCCTATATATTAATAGAGTTTCATTAAAAAATGTAAATATCACAGATCAAAAATCAGAACAATTATCCTTCCCAGGTATTTCCTGAACCTCTTAAAATACTTTCTTCTTTTAGTTTTTTGAGTCCTCTGTACCAGGATGTGAGTTGGAACTAAATGAAACACTGAACAAAATATGTTTATTGAATGTTTGTATGGACTGCATATACAAAAAGCCAACTGAGTTATAAGAATAGGTTTTTAAGTTGAGACAAGATACTGACACATAGACATGTACCATAGTTATCATACATGAGTTAAATATTGTTTTAGTTACATTGTGATTAAAAATATAAACGTTTTAAGATTTTACAGGGATATTCATTTGGGAAAGATAGATAAGAGTTAAAATCCAAAGTCTAAGAACTTAGGTAAACTCAACTCTGGATTAATATACTGAAAACACCACTTTGAAATGTTTCTTCATATTTTAGAAGTCTTTTTAAGATGGTCCCATGCCCACAAGCGGAAAATGTGCTTCCACTTCCCCTAAATTATATATAATAGAGGAGCTAACTTTGGAATAAATCAGCAATAATTTTCTATATAGCAAAGTCCTAGTGAGTCTAATTTCACCTAACTAGCAGTCAGAGATAAGAAACACACTTTATTTAACAGGGCTTATTATCTAGGCATTACAATAAAATAGGAAGATACACTTGTAAAATTTAATCATTAATCATACAATCTATGAAATATTAAAGTGTATTGTAGAAATAAATCTGTGTACTGTTACAAAATTTGTAAATTATCTTTTGCAATTATTAATATAGTGAAAAATTGGTCCTCAAATACTTTTTGTGAATTTTATTCTAAATCCAGGCCAATATTTACTCCCTAAACATATCTGAAGGCAAACATTGCATAAAATTAGGTAATACAGATTTGTGTGCCTTGAGCTCAAGACCTAAGGTAGGCTAGAGGCCTCTCCAGATCATCGGTGTTGAGCAAGAACTTCTTTAACAATTTTAAGTAATTTAAAATTCAACTTCTGGCTTTGGTTCTAGGACCAAAAAAAAAAAAAAAAAAAAAAAAAAAAAAAAAAAAAAAAA